AAAAGTAATAAGGAAATGATAATTTGCAAAAAATTTAAAACTTTCCCTTTATTATAACTTTTATTAGAAACATTTATTACGCTATACAATTTCTTACGATTTTCCCGTGCAAACAATTTCGATTATAAGATTAAGTACGAGGGGCCCAATTTTGAGGTTATTTGTCAATTGAACGTCATTGTCAGCTTCAATCACTGATCATCCCTTATGAGGTAGCTATTTTTGACAGTTTGATATTTCGTAAATAATTTATCGGGTAATTGTAGTAATTTGATGGGTAAACAAATTGCAGAATGTCATTTAAGAAAAAGCAGGCCTACACGTCATTTTATTATTCATCGGATATCGAATGTCCCTGAAGATTTTTATTAATATATAACTCTTTTTTATGTTTTCGGTCCATTATATTATCTTAATTGGGAATTTTGTTGGAAATAGATTTATTAATTATAGAAGCTAACCAACCAATAAATTATAATTTTAAAATGATAACAAAATACACATTATCCCAGCCCGTTATAATACACCTCGCATATCAAGTATCAACTATAACCTTGCCCAGGCTTCCGTTAAATCTAGCATTTGATCAGCGTATATAATAAGCTTTATGTATGAGCTTGATCATAACCCATCATCATATTATTATCGATACGTACATAATGCATAATGCCTTCAAAAGACCCTATAGACCGCTCAATAATGACAGTTTGATATATTAACGGTACTGATGATATTGCTGGGCTATGCTTTATATCCTATGTTGTGTGTCTGCAATCTGCATGCATAATACTCATCAAGCTATGGTTAACATTGATTAAAAACTCCAGGGCTGTCTCTTGATGTCTTTAGTGGATCGGCATTCGACAGGGTCAGGGCGCGGCTTATGTGGAAATTAGAGCGATCTTGATGTGGTGATTAGACATCGGACATAAGTTGAAATCAAATGGATCCAGTATCACAATGAGCTGGTTAACTTTACATATTGAAATTTCGACAGGACAAATTTAAACGAAGAGTCAGAGTATCTTAATTTTCCATAATATAAGAATCAGAGTATCTAAATTTCTCATATTTCAGAACTGAATTACGACGAAGTGGTATCGAAGTCCCCAATTGGCAGGCTCCTCTTTACGGATTACTGTAATGAAACCGAAGAACTGCGATGTTGCAACAAATTCCTTAACGATGTGGTAAGTCTCACCGCTCTGACAGTGGGTCATCACAAACCATCAGTCTTAAGATCTGTCAAACATTTTAAGATTGATCAATTAAGCGAGGCCTATTTAGAGTCATTATGTCATTATCTCATCGTTGTGAATTTGGCGGTTTTTGAAACGAGTATAATAATATTTAAGATCAGAGTCACTCACCATATCCTGATCGTATTTATAAAGAGTCGTGCAGTGGATCCGGGTGGATAGAAACCCAAAATCAATAAATTAAAAGAAACTCATCGCATTCAAGCTCACCGGGGATGTAATAAATAATTATCATAGATCGGAATATCAGTTTTATGCCTGCTTTAAAAAACTATGTTTTTAAGCATGTCGTTCTGTGCGCATCGATTCATGAAATTCTCAAATTAATTGAGGGACCAATAATTATCATTATCAAAGGTTGTGAATGTTTTCTTTCAGTTCTCATATATGCATTAGTCCAAGGTCGACAATTTTGTTGTTGATCATGTCTTATAGATGTTTTTAGATCGTGTAACAACGGAGACACCATTTAGGTTCAGCGGTTGCAAAATCGCATGGATTCCCGCATATTTTTTGCATTTAATGTGCAATTTTGCAACACAAATCAGAAAATTTGTGGGATCGCATGATTTGCGATATTCCCCGCACCTAAATGGTACCTCTGTGTAACGAAGTTTTTCTTTCAACATCAGATGGACGTTTGGAGTCTTGAGGTATATCACATGTCTGTGTAAAGTAGTATAAGTATTCTCATATTATACAGCAATGAATTGATTCCTTGATTTACCTGTTCACTAAACCGAACAATGGATGACACAGCCTTATTTTGCATCATCGCCCCCATATATGAATATCATATCTAATAATATAGTCTTTTAATTACTGTTATTAATTACAATAATTACAATTACAATACATACAATTGTCATGTGAATAGTAATTCTGATTTATGTATTTATGACTGTGATGAGTTGGGGGTAATTAAGTCATTGATAAATAATTAATTGGCTTATTGATACTCCTGTGTAAGGTTAGTACTACTAGCATTTTGGAAAATGAAAAGCATGCTTAATCGAGGCATAGAGAATTAATTACACAATATAATCACACCGTGTTAGTTGCATAATCGTGCATAATATTAATTACATTTCCTTTTTGTTGGCCTAAGAAAAACATGCTCAGTTATTAAACACTGCGTTGAAGTTTAGTTTAAACATTTTCCAAGTCACCGCCAGAAAAGCAACGCAGCAAACTTTACAAATAGTGAAATCATTGTTGTTGAAACAAGTTTAGAGTAGGTTGTAAATAGAAGGACCGTGTTTAAAACATAAGTTAAAAACTTTATCTCATAATATTATGTAAACTTCACAAGGTACATAATATTATTATAAATACTGAACACAGTTGACGCGACCATGTTCTAACATAAATATTTTACCATAAGCTATTATCTCACCTTTGAGGTATAATAATAATGATATTGCTAACTTAACCATTCGCCTAGTTAGTAAATGTGCTCCACACAAAGTCAACACTCGTTATAATGCCCAATTTGATAACTAGAGGGCTGCTCGGCTCTCCACCGTGTAACAATACCATTAACTGATACACCGTATCCCTACTTAACACTTGGTTCCGGGGATACTCAAAATGTGTAATATGATAATGTACATTCCGTATTAATATACGTAGTGCTACGAATACTGAATACACAACATCACTGCTGCACTGCAGTGGTACCCGTAAATCTTAACTTACTTACCGCACCACTGCACCAGATCAAAAACATGGTACATTTTTACCTACACTCGTACATGATGCACAAAATATGATATACCTACTCAGTACTCTCGTGTATATTTTGATACAAGATAAACACCGCACAAACATACAAAACATACACATATTATACACAAGCCAATTATAGGTCACACAAGACTAATAGCGCCTAATAATATACCTCTACAAGGTAATCTACATAACTAAAGTAATTGTGTCCCAACACACGCTAGCATTAATATTACCAACTCTTGGATTAGCCACATTGTCCCTCCCACCCTCGAGACAGCTTGTGTTACCATAACTACAGTTTATAGTTAGTAACAGGTTCTACAGGATTAAATAATTTATATTATCATAACTTTTGTTTAACGTTTTAAGTTCACAAAGACATGGGTTATGATGCCCCTCCCTCTGTTACTTAATATAAATGTAATAATATAATTGTAGCAGGTAATATAAAATATGTATTAATATAATTGTAGTAATATAAATGTAGTAATATAAGTAATGATATAAAATATGTAGTTATATGTAGTTTCATGTGTACAGCGTGTAGGTTATTAGTCTACTCTCTTAACATAAATTAATATTATTATAAATAGATATCTCTCCCTGTGTATCAGAGATAGTGCAATGTTACTGTCAATTTTGTAGTGTTCGTATGCTACTAAGTTATTGTCTAATAATTTAATGGCAAGTGTACACACACATATTTACTTAATTATCAGAAACCCATGTGTCGTGTGCCTAATTATCATTATCGATTACATTGAATGTACTACTGGAGTGTTATTTTGGTGTTTCAAGACTCATATCTCATGTCCGTCATCAGAACCACTCTCTCTGGCTCTGTCTTTGAGTAAAACTGAAATCTACTCATTTCGTCCCAGTAATCATACGTGATAAGGAGTAGGATTCACTCAAGAAGTGTGAAATGATTCATATAATATGTTTACTGTTATAGTATACTGCCCCTTTTTCCAAAATACACTTGACTTTTCTCTGGGTGTCAAATTCCGTAGCCTAAATTAATTTTGGCGTATTTAATTAGAAGTGTAATTTAAAAAGGACATTGTATCCTACTAAACCTACCCAGGTTTTGCCACTTAAAGTCAGGGAATCCGTCATCTTACACTTACAGTGTAACTTCTGGTGAAAGGTTTGCTCCGATCTGGTAACTCAGGGGATTAACACAAGGGTCTGCAGGCTAGGGGCAACAACCACAACCTGGTACAAGCTACCTGGGCCGGGTAGCTCCTCAAACCCCCTCCGAAACCTTACACCCAAACCTCTCAAGCCATGCTCTCTGAAATTGCACGGGGTAACATTGTAACTATTTGTAAATTGGATGTTGTCATGACGACTCTGGTCAGCTCGCTGGGGACGAGATGAGTCGGGAGAGTAAACCAGGGTGTCCTCTTACACCCCCTCTCTCCAGCTGGCTGCTTTCAGAGGGTAGTTCAGTATGGGGGGAGTTGGTGGGAGCTGCTCTCAGAGGGTAGCTCAGTATGGGGGGAGTTGGTGGGAGCTGCTCTCAGAGGGTAGCTCAGTATGGGGGGAGTTGGTGGGAGCTGCTGTCAGAGGGTAGCTCAGTATGGGGGGAGTTGGTGGGAGCTGCTCTCAGAGGGTAGCTCAGTATGGGGGGAGTTGGTGGGAGCTGCTCTCAGAGGGTAGCTCAGTATGGGGGGAGTTGGTGGGAGCTGCTCTCAGAGGGTAGCTCAGTATGGGGGAGTTGGTGGGAGCTGCTCTCAGAGGGTAGCTCAGTATGGGGGGAGTTGGTGGGAGCTGCTTTCAGAGGGTAGCTCAGTATGGGGGGAGTTGGTGGGAGCTGCTCTCAGAGGGTAGCTCAGTATGGGGGGAGTTGGTGGGAGCTGCTCTCAGAGGGTAGCTCAGTATGGGGGGAGTTGGTGGGAGCTGCTCTCAGAGGGTAGCTCAGTATGGGGCGAGTTGGTGGTAGCTGCTCTCAGAGGGTAGCTCATTATGGGGGGAGTTGGTGGGAGCTGCTTTCAGAGGGTAGCTCAGTATGGGGGGAGTTGGTGGGAGCTGCTCTCAGAGGGTAGCTCATTATGGGGGGAGTTGGTGGGAGCTGCTTTCAGAGGGTAGCTCAGTATGGGGGGAGTTGGTGGGAGCTGCTCTCAGAGGGTAGCTCATTATGGGGGGAGTTGGTGGGAGCTGCTTTCAGAGGGTAGCTCAGTATGGGGGGAGTTGGTGGGAGCTGCTCTCAGAGGGTAGCTCAGTATGGGGGGAGTTGGTGGGAGCTGCTCTCAGAGGGTAGCTCAGTATGGGGGGAGTTGGTGGGAGCTGCTCTCAGAGGGTAGCTCAGTATGGGGGAGTTGGTGGGAGCTGCTCTCAGAGGGTAGCTCAGTATGGGGGGAGTTGGTGGGAGCTGCTCTCAGAGGGTAGCTCAGTATGGGGGGAGTTGGTGGGAGCTGCTCTCAGAGGGTAGCTCAGTATGGGGGGAGTTGGTGGGAGCTGCTCTCAGAGGGTAGCTCAGTATGGGGGGAGTTGGTGGGAGCTGCTTTCAGAGGGTAGCTCAGTATGGGGGGAGTTGGTGGGAGCTGCTCTCAGAGGGTAGCTCAGTATGGGGGGAGTTGGTGGGAGCTGCTCTCAGAGGGTAGCTCAGTATGGGGGGAGTTGGTGGGAGCTGCTCTCAGAGGGTAGCTCAGTATGGGGGGAGTTGGTGGGAGCTGCTCTCAGAGGGTAGCTCAGTATGGGGGGAGTTGGTGGGAGCTGCTCTCAGAGCTGAGGGTAGCTCAGTATGGGGGGAGTTGTGGGAGCTGCTCTCAGAGGGTAGCTCAGTATGGGGGGAGTTGGTGGGAGCTGCTCTTCGTTTCCAGACTTATTGTCCCTGGTGCTATATTCGGGGTGCATTGTTCGTGGGTCGGACAATACCTTCAATGCATACCTGACATTCTTAAGAATATATTCCAATGGCCACTTTATTGCTTTATTGTCGCACGGCAATAGCAGATCTATTTAAATGTCAGCCTGAAATTATGTCAAATAAGGGACAGCATAATATTTGTATTTAATGTCACAACAGGATCTGAGTTAGCTCCAAATACCATGTGGCAGGTGTACATTGTAACCCGCCCAATAAGACAGGTTCTCGTTACCCATTATAGTACGACGCACTGTAGCTTAAATTGGCAGATTTGTCAATCATGAAATGGGAGCTGTAGTCAACAGAACGTCAGGTTCCGTAGTCCGTAGTATTCAATATCGATTCACAACCTGAGTCCGCCAGATATTACCCTTGTTGAAGTACAGTACGTATCGAACTACCGTCGAACTAGAGTACGTGTACCTATAATATCGATCGGTAATATTAGGGCCAAATTTTACCTTAGCAGTTAACAGGCTATGCTGGTAGTGTAGTGGTAGTGTAGTGGTACTAAGTCTTCGCTGTCGCAGTTTACAGTGATATTTGTAGAAATATCACCAAACTTATCCTGGTCTTGGCCTTGTAGTGATTCGTCGTCAATTTTACGAAATTATCAGAGTCAGACAAAAGTTGTTAACTGATGTGATGTAATGCCTGTTCAAGTTAGTCCCGGCCCTGTTTGCTCATCAGTCTTCATTTTGGGAGAGCCATCAGCCAACTGGCAACTTCAGTTGACGTGATCACTATAAAACGCTTTTGTCTCTACGATTCAAATGCTTCAATTAATGCAACCTCCAGGCTTCTTATATCGAGGTCATTGACTAAAATTTGTAAAAGATATTGCGTCATGACTTATATTAATCGCAAATAACTATTTACATTAAAAATAGAGTAAATTTATATCTCCCATAAAAGTTGATGACGGGCACTCGCGCTTAATCTGACTAATCAATCTAAAAAACAGCCCATAGTTATGACACTTATCTCCAAAAAAAGCCGGTCCAACTCCCACAAAAATCCGAGAAGTGTTATGTTGTATTTAAAACAGATAAAGGCATAATATTATGATAGTATTTATAGTATAATATAGTACATATTATATCCAGTACTAGCAGTGTGCCAACAATGTAACCTACACTTGAGAAGGAAGCTGTAGATATGACCACAAACAGGACCGTACTTAGTACCTAACACTGGTTATAGCGCTCACTGGCTGTAGCGCCGCGCTTACTGGTTATAGCGCTCACTGGCTGTAGCGCTTACTGGTTATAGCGCTCACTGGTTGTAGCGCTTACTGGTTATAGCGCTCAATGCGTTGTAGCAGATTATACGGGTTTCACGCATGATAACTGTGCAGCACTCCTTCCTTTTCAGATGGTGCAAACCATGAGTTTTAATCCGCTCATGTTTTATGCATTTTGGAATGGCAGAGTGTGGTATAAATCCCATTGGCAGGAGCCTTCCTCCTAACTTTTAATTTCTCAGGTCATTATGTACTATGTAGCTTAAAATAGAATATTACAGATTCACAGTACCGTATATTATTATGTTGGATATCCATGACGCTAGGACCAGCTTAATTCGAAGCTGCAGCAAGGTCTGATTTCTAAAATATTGTATAGTTTTGTACTAGACATAAGACAGAGCCGTGTAGCCGCCTGAACCACCGAAATGAAGGGGGGTAGCAGCGCAGACATAGCACAGACTGGCAGATCCAAGGACATAGCTCCTCTTTTACACAATACACATTATGTAGTGTGTCTACACGTGACCTGCACTTGTCACGCGCTATGTTCATTAAGTGTTACCATTGTGGAACGGATGTAATCTAAATGTAAACTGAAAGCACCACCGTCGAGCCATTGAAATGTTGTTGTTGAGCGCCTGATTCAGGTCAAACTAGTTGTGGTTCGTGTGTAACATTCACCTGTCAAATTCATTTTTATTATCTTATGTTGGTTCACAAGAGCAACATAATTGGGAACTTCTAATTCACTAATTTATGATAAGTTCATTTTTGAAGACATTCACTATAACTCTATAAGAGCTCTCTTTTAATTCATCAGAGAGAGTTGGTACTAAACTAAATAAATACCTCTTAGTTTCGTCCTGATAAAATTGAACACAATTTATATAATAATTTTGTCACAAACATTCTATTCTAGGAGAGGCCCTTTAAGGGAAACATTTTTTCTCAAAAATTCCAGGTCTCTAACATACCAGGGCCAGGGTGCCGTTTACATAACGGACAATTAAAAGCTAAAACTAGCTGTTAAATAACTATTATATAAAATATACGAATTATTTACACCTTACATTTTTCTTTAGAACTTGTTGGAAACCGAAAGAGACTTATCAGCCGTGGATGTAAGTTGTCGTGTGGCGCCGCTGGGAGTGAGCTGGTTTAACGTAATAATGTTGTTATTAGTGAGGGGACAGCAGCAGCCGCGCACCATTGTTTTTGCACGTGGGCGTGCCAATTCAATGCTTACACACACACATTGCTTTCAGCAGATTGAAAATATCATGGCTGTGCTGTGTTTCTAGCAAACGTGTGCACTGTCCCCACGCCAGTAGTGATATTGATTGCTAATTGCGACACGTGCTAATTGCATCAAGTGTTGAGTTTATGCTACGTGCTTTGAACACACGTGCTCCTATAATACGTGTAGTACACAGGGAGCACTGTGTTAATGTCGTGTGTACTGTAACTTGAACCTGTGAGGAATCGTCTCAGTTAGAATTACTATAGTTTATTATTATATTCTATAGTTTATTCTAATATTCTATAGTATATTCTATAGTTATATAACTATATTCCTTTGAAACATGCCTGAAATCTATTATAATATCATGCTTTGTTATATCTTTAGTAAAATCTTCATGTATTTATTATTCATATAATTTAATAGCATTATTATATTGATTTCAGATGTCACGGACCATCATAAAAACCGCGTTTTATGCTATTGATAACTTACTAAGCTATTGATAACTTACTAAGCTATTGATAACTTACTAAGCTATTGATAACTTACTAAGCTATTGATAACTTACTAAGCTATTGATAACTTACTAAGCTATTGATAACTTACTAAGCTATTGATAACTTACTAAGCTATTGATAACTTACTAAGCTATTGATAACTTACTAAGCTATTGATAACTTACTAAGCTATTGATAACTTACTAAGCTATTGATAACTTACTAAGCTATTGATAACTTACTAAGCTATTGATAACTTACTAAGCTATTAATAACTTACTAAGCTTACTATTGGTAGCGCTGTTAGGGCCGTGCAAAATGCTTCCAGCTGGCCCGCCTTTTTATTTTTCCTGAGTTCCTTGGTTTGCCCCCTTTTATTCTATACGGCTTGTAATATTGGTTTGCTAAAATATCTTCACTTTCAGCGATATTATAAAAGTGTAGTCATGGATATTTAGATCTCATAACAGTATGTTGTGTGAGGCTTATCTTTAGTAATATAAAATCATTAAAATGTAATAGTTTAAATATTCATGAATAGTTAATGATAAATAAAACTATTATGAAGCCGAACTTTACACACGCTCTGGTTAAGAGAACTAATCCAAGTATAATTCCTTAAACCAGCGGTTCACAAAAACTGTTTGGCTAAAAAAACAAAACCAAAAGCTCATTATGCTAAGAAATTAGCTGAGCTCTAGAGCGAATTGATCGAGTTTGAATGAGCTCTTTAAATGAATAATATGTTCCAAATATGTCTCGTCACCTTTACCAAAATAGACTATACTGCTAGGTTTGATAATTGATATGGCCAAAAAAGTTAGCACTGCGGTGTCAATTTCTGATCATAGAACGAGATCTTCGTAAAAAAAGACTAATTGTATTATACATTTTCTGTGGTATAAATTTCTTTTAGCCAGTGATCTCCAACAAAAATTAACTTTCATATCATGAGTGTACACCATATGACACTAAAACCAACGCGTTATATTAAGCTTGTCGTTAAACTTTTAACTTCCGATGAAAGTAAATATTTGTAGGTCACTGTGGTCTCCAATAATAATAGTCTATAAAAGTATAAAGCTAAAGGATGTTAATGTTTATCGTTTTAACAAAGAAATACAAATAATTCAGTGTACTTTATCAAACAGTACGGTATAACAGTAATTGTCACATAGTTTGACGCAATAAAGCTAAATTCGCAGTGATAATAACATGTTGACACTTGAACATTGAGCTAGTGGGATTCTCTAACAGCATTCAACGACCTTTGAACGACTTTGTAGAAGCCACATCACAATAAGCTGTTGTCATGATGCACTCTGAGATTGACCAATGACGCCAAAGTAGAAAGCTGCACCTTTTGGAGGGTGTGCAATGCGGACTTTGTAATTTTCAAGGCACAGCTTGGCAGGATCTGCAGCATGAATAGTGATGATCCAGATGAATTGTGTATTGTCTGCAGAGAAGCAAAAACAAAGTATGTATGAGCCTCAAGACACTTGGATCAGCAAAGTGCACTTGTCTGATATATTGCATCACACATAATACTTTGTTACAATAAAGATGCAATGACGCTCTCGTAAGCTTATTAATATATATAATTTGAATCAGTAGAAGTGATAGAAGGATAGTTTTTGATATAAGTTAAGTAGCAATCTTACTGTAACAGTGAGATTCCCTGGAATATGTATAACATAAGTAGGCTTCCTCTAGACATCATGTGACAGTACCGCTAATCCTCAAATATTATCGGTTCTTTTATCTAAATTCTGTATAATAAGATACATAATATCATGATATAATAAGATAAGTAACTACCCAGGCACGCATGACTAACAATGGGTTAAGTAATTTAATTGCACCATGCATTATATTGCATGTGCACATGCACCTTTGGTGTTCTGATCTGATCATTGATTTTTCAGAGCATCGCTCAGTGGCTTAGAAATCCATTAGTTGAGATTAGAATAGAGATCAGGGTGGGGTGGATGCAATGATCTCAATCATAAAAACGACAATTCTGACAATAATTCATCACGAATTCGCTGACAAACTCTTTGTGTGTGTACTTTAAAGCACGACTTTCATTAATTAATACCAACAAAACCGAGTTATATTGCAGCCCCTCCCCCCCCCCCCCCCCCCTGAGCTGCAGTATTGTGCAGAGGTGTACATTAACAATGTACATTGCCGCAAGGTAGTAGTGGCCCCACCTCCCCAACAACATCCCACATGACACTAGGGGACGACAGGTGTGGTGGTGGAGTCTCAGTAGTAATGTACAACAGCAGCTCTCTCTCTCTCTCTATTTAACGGGGGGAGGCCCCTATGTAGTTAGTACTGTGTTCAACATTCCGCTCTTCACACACAAGTTATAACTTACCTCACTGGTTAGTGTACTCTGTGTGTGTGTGTGTGTGTGTAGCAGGACTTAACCTGATATGGTGGGTATACTTTACAAAGTTGTTGTTTCAACTTTCATATCAAAGACAATGCCAAGATAAAATGAAAATGCAAATACTCGAGATAAACGTTATCCTGTTTTGTCAGTGAAACCCTGGCCCAGTAGTAGTTGTTACACTGTTGTACCACAGTGAACAAGGATCTAGATCCGTGTGTAACACTCTGCTAACACCAGGTCAGGAGTGGTATCACACTTTTTACATGTGATATGAATTCTATTGACATCAGTAACTTGAACTTTGAGAGCCAGAGCGGTTTGTAAGCTCCGAACGTTGTGGGGCGATAAGAGTGTTATTAAAAACAACTGCCATTGTGAACATGGATTCAAATCAAATCGTACAGTCGAAGATTAAAACTTTGTAAATAATCTTAAGAATTTTCCTTTTTTTTAAATCCCAGACCTCGCATATTGTAATGGCAGACATAATATTATACAGCTGCAATAAATAACATACCTAGACTCTTAGTCTTTTAAAGTTATACTAACAGCCGTGGAGGCAGCTTTTCGCTGCATTAAATGCGAGTTCTAGTTGCATTAAATGCGAGTTATAGCTGCATTAAATGCGAGTTCTAGCTGCATTAAATGCGAGTTCTAGCTGCATTAAATGCGAGTTCTAGCTGCATTAAATGCGAGTTCTAGCTGCATTAAATGCGAGTTCTAGCTGCATTAAATGCGAGTTCTAGCTGCATTAAATGCGAGTTCTGGCTGCATTAAATGCGAGTTCTGGCTGCATTAAATGCGAGTTCTGGCTGCATTAAATGCGAGTTCTGGCTGCATTAAATGCGAGTTCTAGCTGCATTAAATGCGAGTTCTAGCTGCATTAAATGGGAGTTCTAGCTGCATTAAATGCGAGTTCTATCCGCATTAAATGCGAGTTCTATCCGCATTAAATGCGAGTACTATCTGGAATAATAGCCACCATAATAAGCTGATGTTTTATGAATTCTATCTGCCCCGCTGTGCAATGCATGCTATTGATACCTCTCATTTCACATGTTGACCGTACTTTTGTTACTGTAACGCAAAATTTGCAAAGATCTCGTCCAGCACACTATATTACAGTCTCATTTATAATCGTGTCGTTTGCATGGATGTCAATGTTATTGTCGGTTATTTTAACTTTTTATCTCACTCAACAAATTTAGAGCACGATTCACTCGAACAATCTACCAGTATTTTTACATATGTAGAGTTCACAGACATTTCTAGCTCACTGTAGCTTACTGCTTAGTATGTGTGATCCGAGACGGAGTGCATTAAAATTTTATTGTTCTGTGTGCTTTAAGAACTGCGACGTTTGACGTCACACTTTTGTGCACGAAAGAGATCTGGAATCTGTTTTAACCGAGATCAATCTCTCCGTCTGAGCAAGAATTCAATGTTGTACGTATGAAAGTCTTGACATGTATAGATATCAGTTCTCACAATAGAATGCGTCACATTTCTTGAACCATTTCATGAAAATAATCACAAAAACATGAAGTTTTCGACTTCAAAAACCTCATTTAAACCAATTCAGCTTATTAAAAACATTTCCTTGTGTTTCAGGATAACTACGAAAAGTTAGCTCCAGAGGAACAGCGACTGAACCTTGCCCAGAAGATTTACCAGCAATGTCTTTGCGACGAGGTACCTAGAAACCATTTAAAAGCCTCACGGCTCACACTACTATTTCACACAATTTATAAAGCAGACGTTAGACCCCATACACAAAAAGCCGGCCCGTAATTTCGCTAGCTTTTAGTCAAATTTCATTGTTATTTCGAGCTTTTAGTGGCCAGCTTTTCGAGGCTGTGGTGGTGCTACAGACGTTAGACAAGTAGACAAACACTAACTTTCATGTAACTTTCATGTATAATTGACAGTTCTTTGTTCACGGGCTCTACTGGACTACTTTCTAGGACTCATTCTACTGTACGATAAAATAATAACGGAAGATAATGTGATGTCTATTGACCTTCATTCTTGTGAGGTGGATGTCTAATAATATAGTCTTTAAAGTCGAGTCTTCCAGCGTGCTGTAATGGCGCCCTGGATAGTGGATAGACTCTATTGTTTGGAAGACAACTTACTAAGTACGCACTATTTGGTACATATCATTAAAACTGTACGATCTGTGGAAATTTTCAGCCCATTTTTTGAGCTGGTGGGTAAGAGATTAAGGAGAGCACGTGTCAGTCAAACGGTCAGTTCGTCAGAAAGTTTAAAGTCTAAAAGATATTCAGTAAGTCAGTCAATGAGTCAATCTGTCAGACAGACCGTCAGTCTATCTGTCATAAGCTCTGTACGTCAATCAGTTTGTTGGTCAGTCTGTTTGTGTCTTATTTATGAACAGTCAGCATCCTGGTATCCTGCTGTATTATTTTTAAGAAACCAAAATATCAGGTGGATGTCAGCGGAGATACTTCCTTGAAGGTAAACTTGTGAGACGTCATGTGCTAAGGTTAAGGGATGGACAACTTCTCGTGTAAATGTCTCGGGGTTTTTACTTGTGAAAAAAGTTGAATACCATCCTGAAAACCGAGCTTGGCATTTTGCATTCCCTCTCTTTTTCGTTTAAAAATGGGTTATAATACTGCAAGTTGCTAGATCATAATATCAGAGAAGAATTTTCAATTTTACCCTGGCATGGTAACAATGGTTGTCGAGTCGGGATTGTCTTGTATTGAAAAGAATAAAGATAGTGTTTGTGTCTCAGTGACTGTGGAGACTGGAGTGTGGGTCCACGCATGTGGCAATAACCTTCATACTGTGCATTACAGTGTCATACGTCAGTATGATGTTAGAATACTCAGCTTAACTTTAAATATGTTTTACCAAACCCAATACTGTTATAATATTTTACCATTAAATTATTGCATGAAATTGAGCTAGCGCTCTTTGGTTACTTTTCAATGTTCGTCCAGGAACGAGCAATCACGCCGAAACATTGTCTCCCCCTGAACACTAACTCGGGGTATGGTTATCTTTGTTAAATGTTAAAACTTTTCTTCTTACCAACCTTCTGGAACCTTAATGATAATAAACTCAAGGCTTGTGTCAAGTTTTTAACGTTCCTTCCGGCTTGGCTGTGTTTTGTCAAGTTTGTTAAACTGTCGCGTATACCTGGACAGTGGCCGGCGTTGATACAGAATTACATTTCCAGCATTTTTTATAATTATGCACCTGAACTGTCATACAGAGATACAGAGGAATTTTTTCGCAGAGAGCTTGTTTCAGTGTTGAGCGACCAGAGCTGAGGTAGAGGTCACTGCTATAATTATAGATCACTGTCTGCAATATAGCTTTAAATCTATTTTATCGGGGGGGGTGTCACGTCCGTCTATGTCCGCTTGTCTCATAGAATCCAAAAAGGACAGGACATAGGCGGACATAGGCGGACATAGACGGACATAGGCGGACATAGGCGGACATAGGCGGACATAGACGGACATAGACGGACATAGACGGACATAGGCGGACATTAATGGACACCTAAATTGCTAAATAAAATGTTCAATTTTTGCTGTTATAGGGGGGATCATGTTTTTTGTCCGTTCGGTACCCTATATTTTCAAAACGGACAAAAAAAAGAGCGGACAAAAACGGACAAAAATGGACAAAAACGGACAAAAATGGAAATAACATTTAGATGCTTCCTCCTCCTACTCTTCCTCCTCCTCTCCCTGGGTCTTCCTGATTTTCCTCAGTCCTCTTCCTCCTCCTCTCCTCAGTCCTCCTCCTACTCCTCCTCGTCCTCAGTCCTCCTCATCAGTCCTCAACAGTCCTCCTCCTCCCCAGTCCTCCTCCTCCTCCTGAGTCCTCCTCCTGGGTCCTCCTCCTCTTCATCCTTCTCCTCTTCCTCCTCAGTCCTCAGTCCTCCTCCTCATCCTTCTCCTCAGTCCTCCATTCTCCTCCTCAGTCCTCCCCCCGTCCCCCTCCTCCTCCTCCTATTCAGTCCTCCTCCTCCTCCTCCTCCTCAGTACTCCTCTTTCTCAGTCCTCCTCCTCCTCCTCTTCCCTCTCAGTCATCCTCCTCAGCCATCCTCCTCAGTCCTCATCAGTCCTCCTCCTCCTGGGTCCTCCTCCTCCTCTTCATCCTCCTCCTCTTCCTCCTCGGTCCTCAGTCCTCCTCCTCCTGGGTCCTCCTCCTCATCCTTCTCATCAGTCCTCCTCCTCCCCAGTCCTCTCCCAGTCCCCCTCCTTCTCCTCCTCCTATTCAGTCCTCCTCCTCCTCCTCCTCCTCCTCCTGAGTCCTCCTCTTCCTCCTGAGTCCTCCTCCTGAGTCCTCCTCCTCCTCCCTCTCAGTCATCCTCCTCAGTCATCCTCCTCAGTCATCCTCCTCAGCCATCCTCCCCAGCCATCCTCCTCAGCCATCCTCCTCAGTACTCCCCAGTCCTCCTCCTTCTCAGTCATCGTCAGTCCTCCTCCTCAGTCCTCCTCAGTCCTCCTCCTCCTCCTCCTCCTCCTGGGTCCTCCTGGGTCTTCCTGATCCTCCCCAGTCCTCCTCCTCCTCCCCTCCTCAGTCCTCCTCCTACTCCTCCTCCTCCTCCTCAGTCCTCCTCCTCAGTCCTCCTCAGTCCTCCTCCTCCTCCTCCTCCTCCTGGGTCCTCCTGGGTCTTCCTGATCCTCCCCAGTCCTCCTCCTCCTCCCCTCCTCAGTCCTCCTCCTACTCCTCCTCCTCGTCCTCAGTCCTCCTCATCAGTCCTCAACAGTTCTCCTCCTCCCCAGTCCTCCTCCTCCTCCTGGGGCCTTTTCCTGGGTCCTCCTCCTGGGTCCTCCTCCTCATGGGTCCTCCTCCTCCTGGGTCCTCCTTCTCCTCCTCAGTCCTTCTCCTCCTCCTCAGTCCTCTTCCTCCTCTTCCTCCTCCTTCTCCCTCTCAGTCATCCGCCTCAGCCATCCTCCTCAGCCATCCTCCTGAGTCCTCCTCAGTTCTCCTCCTCCTCCTCCTAGGTCCTCCTTCTGGGTCCTCCTCCTACTCCTCCTCCTGGGTCTTCCTGATCCTTCTCCTCCCTCTCAGTCATCCTCCTCAGTCATCCTCCTCAGTCATCCTCCTCAGCCATCCTCCTCAGCCATCCTCCTCAGCCATCCTCCTCAGTACTCTTCAGTACTCTTCAGTCCTCAAAATGTTTGTCCGCTAATGTCCACCAATGTCCGCTAATGTCCACCAATGTCCGTCCAAGTCCGCCAATGTCCGTCCGGGTCCGCCAATGTCCGTCCGAGTCCGCCAATGTCCGTCCGAGTCCGCCAATGTCCGTCCGTGTCCGCCAATGTCCCAAAAAACACTTCCTCTTCCTCCTCGGTCCTCAGTCCTCCTCCTCCTGGGTCCTCCTCCTCATCCTTCTCATCAGTCCTCCTCCTCCCCAGTCCTCTCCCAGTCCCCCTCCTTCTCCTCCTCCTATTCAGTCCTCCTCCTCCTCCTCCTTAGTTCTCCTCAGTCCTCCTTCTCATTTCTCCTAAGTCCTCCTCCTGAGTCCTCCTCTTCCTCTTCCTCCTCTTCCTCCTGAGTCCTCCTCCTGAGTCCTCCTCCCTCTCAGTCATCCTCCTCAGTCATCCTCCTCAGCCATCCTCCCCAGCCATCCTCCTCAGTCCTCCTCCTCAGTCCTCCTCAGTCCTCCTCCTCAGTCCTCCTCAGTCCTCCTCCTCCTCCTCCTCCTCCTCCTGGGTCCTCCTGGGTCTTCCTGATCCTCCCCAGTCCTCCTCCTCCTCCCCTCCTCAGTCCTCCTCCTACTCCTCCTCCTCGTCCTCAGTCCTCCTCATCAGTCCTCAACAGTTCTCCTCCTCCCCAGTCCTCCTCCTCCTCCTGGGGCCTTTTCCTGGGTCCTCCTCCTGGGTCCTCCTCCTCCTGGGTCCTCCTCCTCCTGGGTCCTCCTTCTCCTCCTCAGTCCTTCTCCTCCTCCTCAGTCCTCTTCCTCCTCTTCCTCCTCCTTCTCCCTCTCAGTCATCCGCCTCAGCCATCCTCCTCAGCCATCCTCCTGAGTCCTCCTCAGTTCTCCTCCTCCTCCTCCTAGGTCCTCCTTCTGGGTCCTCCTCCTACTCCTCCTCCTGGGTCTTCCTGATCCTTCTCCTCCCTCTCAGTCATCCTCCTCAGTCATCCTCCTCAGTCATCCTCCTCAGTCATCCTCCTCAGCCATCCTCCTCAGCCATCCTCCTCAGCCATCCTCCTCAGTACTCTTCAGTACTCTTCAGTCCTCAAAATGTTTGTCCGCTAATGTCCACCAATGTCCGCTAATGTCCACCAATGTCCGTCCAAGTCCGCCAATGTCCGTCCGGGTCCGCCAATGTCCGTCCGAGTCCGCCAATGTCCGTCCGAGTCCGCCAATGTCCGTCCGTGTCCGCCAATGTCCCAAAAAACACTTCCTCTTCCTCCTCGGTCCTCAGTCCTCCTCCTCCTGGGTCCTCCTCCTCATCCTTCTCATCAGTCCTCCTCCTCCCCAGTCCTCTCCCAGTCCCCCTCCTTCTCCTCCTCCTATTCAGTCCTCCTCCTCCTCCTCCTTAGTTCTCCTCAGTCCTCCTTCTCATTTCTCCTAAGTCCTCCTCTTCCTCTTCCTCCTCTTCCTCCTGAGTCCTCCTCCTGAGTCCTCCTCCTGAGTCCTCCTCCCTCTCAGTCATCCTCCTCAGTCATCCTCCTCAGCCATCCTCCCCACCCATCCTCCTCAGCCATCCTCCTCAGTACTCCTCAGTCCTCCTCCTTCTCAGTCATCGTCAGTCCTCCTCCTCAGTCCTCCTCAGTCCTCCTCCTTCTCCTGGGTCCTCCTCCTCCTCCTGGGTCCGCCTGGGTCTTCCTGATCCTCCCCAGTCCTCTTCCTCCTCCCCTCCTCAGTCCTCCTCCTCGTCCTCAGTCCTCCTCATCAGTCCTCAACAGTTCTCCTCCTCCCCAGTCCTCCTCCTCCTCCTGGGGCCTTTTCCTGGGTCCTCCTCCTCCTGGGTCCTCCTCCTGGGTCCTCCTTCTCCTCCTCAGTCCTCTTCCTCCTCTTCCTCCTCCTCCTCCCTCTCAGTCATCCTCCTCAGCCATCCTCCTCAGCCATCCTCCTGAGTCCTCCTCCTCAGTTCTCCCCATCCTCCTCCTAGGTCCTCCTTCTGGGTCCTCCTCCTACTCCTCCTCCTGGGTCTTCCTGATCCTTCTCCTCCCTCTCAGCCATCCTCCTCAGTCATCCTCCTCAGTCATCCTCCTCAGCCATCCCCCTCAGCCATCCTCCTCAGCCATCCTCCTCAGTACTCTTCAGTACTCTTCAGTCCTCAAAATGTTTGTCCGCTAATGTCCACCAATGTCCGCTAATGTCCACCAATGTCCGTCCAAGTCCGTCAATGTCCGTCCGGGTCCGCCAATGTCCGTCCGAGTCCGCCAATGTCCGTCCGTGTCCGCCAATGTCCCAAAAAACACGTCCGTTGTCTCATAGAATCCAAAAAGGACAGGACATAGGCGGACATAGACGGACATGACACCCCCCCCTTTATCGCACTCAGACCCCATATTACTATTATAAAAGTATAAAGGGTATAAAGCTATAAGTATAACACCTCTTTATTAGCTTGATATATTTGACTTTCATAGAGTCGTGGGGGCCGTCTGTCTCAACAAAGCAGCACTGCGAGCTACGATATTGATAATATGATTTAAAAATCTAATAAGACAATGGCCGGGAAAGTGAAGCACAATTCTTTTGACTCGTGACAGCAATGCTTGTATATGATTGGTTGTGTCAGTGTCATGTGATGAGCCGAAAGTTGTCACGTGTCAAAATTAGTTTGCTACGTCTCGTCAAGCTTATCATTTGATATTAATAAGCGAGCTATTCTCACGTTTTTATGATCCTTTATTAAAAGCGAGAAAAGTTCATCGCTGCCACTTGCCAGCCCCAGCAACCGTAGAAAACCTGCCTGAATAAGCTTAGTGGATGCCCATAATACATATATAATATGTATATTTGTAGTATGTTAATATTCGTGATCCCTAACGCGTGAGCGATCACGCGATAACAACGTCACGTGATATCTCACTGATGTATTCCAGATAGGAATCACGTACAGTGTCCAGGATTCCTATGATTCAGCTGAGGATGTTGTCTACAAGGTACCGAGTTGTAGTGAGTCACCTGATCACCAGCTACCCTAAAATTATTACCTTAAAAATTATATAATTGACTAAAATCCTGATAATCACTTAATTATAATTAAATTACTTACTTTTTACTAAAAATTTGTGATCTATGTACAACAACGAGATCAATGTTATTTCTCCAAACTTAAAATAATGCTACATAGCTCTCAATCATAATTATATAATGATTTGCTGCTACTGATGAATATCTAGGTATAATGTTTCTTGGGTTGTTGTGACGATCATTTTACTTTGTCTTCACGGGGCTTGAATTACTGCAAATGACTTGCTCATTGACGCAACTTCAGGCATATTTTTTTAGAAATAACTTCGATTCTTCTTAATTACCGAGTTATAGATTGAATCATTTTGTTTGTGATACCCAAAGTTATTTATGATTATCAGGTCTTGGAATGATAAATATCTTCTTATCTACAAACTGAAATTACATTTTTTCTCAATGATTAAGTTATTTTTGAATTAACGGTAGCTAAACTTTTCCGTTCTTGCGTTGAGTATCAGTTCAGACTTGTAGAACTAAATAATATTATGTTTTAATTTACTTTTATGACAGTATTAAACGAATGACAATCTTTTCAGTTTACTGTGCTAATTCCGTACATGAGTCAAAAGTATTATACTTTCGTCTTTTCAATATCTTCTTGTAAATGAATGAAACCGGCACGCACTTCTCTATTCTTTATTATAAAACAAGCGCGCATCAATGTGGAATCATCTTGCATCTCTTAAATACTGTCTTGCTCTCTAGACACAAATCACAAATTACAAAACTCACTTATAATAATTATTACTGGTCCAACACTTATTATAATTGCTAACCATGCAAGGAACGTGTGCTTGTTGAACTATTGAACATGCACCAGAACTTCTTCTCTGACGTCACAGTTTACGTGACATTAAAAACATTGTTACAGGCAGAGAGCAGGTTACCAGATCACCTGATCGACCATGAGAAAGTTAAGGAGGTGGAGGATAAACTGTTGGGGGAGAGTCCGCGATATATCTACTCTCAAATAGCTAGGTGAGTGTCTTATAATTTGTCAATGTTAAAATTTTTGTTGATAAATATCTAGATCTCTCGCAGGCGAGAGGAGCGGTACCGTTTAAAACTCTTGTGGTTTTTCATTGCGTAAAATTGCGTGCTTTCCAATAAATGGTTTTTATGGAGTGTCGAACAGGGGTAAACGGTTTTTAGGTGTTATTAAAGCCGACGATCATTGAGCAATCACGCTAGCTATTAAACAAAGTAATTGTCTTCCAAATAGCATTTCAACTTAAATATGTAGTAATCAAATATGTTATGGTTGGAGTTCAGCATAAATCATAATATCTCTGACCGCTCACAGTGCATTTATTCAGTTACTAAACCACATAAAGCTGTTTAAGACTTCACTATGTAAAGCCTCTTAAGTGGCAAAGAGAGCACCCAGAAATTTAAATTTACGCTAAATACATTTCAAGTGGCTAATTGAGAAACTATCAAGAACTACTGGTATGCCGTATAATGGTGCTGGTTAAAGTAGTTTTGTGACAGCTTAATTGTTCCGTTTCAGCGAAAAGTCCTGTTGCACAATATCATTCAAGTTATAACAGTTTAATACCTACATCCATAATTTTAAGTCGACAAATTGTTCATTGTTGACAATTATTGATGTACTGTGACGCAGATTGCGGGTTATTTTCTGAAATACGTCAAAAACCTGTACTTTGGTCTTTGTTGAGACTTTACGGAGTTACCACGTCATGAATATGATGGACATAATAATATATCGGCATCTACTCACGTTTCGTTTTTTGGTTTGGTTTAAGTGTTGAGTTTCACAATTCACATGGTCTACTGTACATTTTGTGTGGCTACTGGCGAACAAAAGAGGGAGGGTCGAATATGTGTATAAAATGTGTGTAACACAGTCACAATGGCGACACAGACTGGGCTGTATCAGTATATCTCAAGTTATCTTTCAATGTAGTTCGTGTGATAGGGAACCTGGATCACTGAATAATGAATATTGAATATAAATTAAGTTATCAATGGGTGGGGGGTCGGGGGGCAACCCCGCGACCATTGATTTCTCAACTTTTGTTCATTGATGGTGAAGCCTTAAAAGCAGCTATGTTTTAGCTAGATATGGTAACACGAGCATCTATTTTTAGATTTTACAATTTTTACAGAAAAATTATTAAAATGAGGCCCATTTATTCCCCAACTTTTAGTCAAATGGGTATGGACAAAAAACTCTCCGAAATATTCAGCTGACCTCGCCCTGGTATTTATATTCCTTGGAATTAATGAAACTCCAAGCTGTCCTGTGCAGAGTGCAAACTGCAAACTGCAAAGGTGTCACGTCCTCAACCCTTGCTCTCAGTAAATTTGTCATTCTCGCATCTTCCTCTAAATTATTGGCAATTTAAAGCACGATTTATTACCTTCTACGGTTTACTGGAATTTAAAGTTCTGTCTAATTAGCTAATTGTGGTAGGAGATTTTAAAAGCCTTCAATCCACTAAATACATGATTCCAGGTAATGGTGCAGGCGCAAAAAGTAATATAAATGCTCTTCTTTTTGCACTGATATCCACACTAAAATTCACCAAATCAAGTAATAAAACTGGCTCCATTTCATGACTAACGTTCCTGGTCTGCGCTAATCCTCCATTATCTTGAAGAATGTACATCATTGTATATTATATATATTATCATCGTAACCACCACGTCTCTCACTACATATAACATAACTTAATATATCCAACTATTTGAGAGTGAGGCTGGTAAGAGGGGAGCAATATGTAAGGAAGGCTGGCAGATGGTGCAGACGGTACACTAACATGTCTGTTCCACCACCAGCATGGTGTACTGACTGCCGCGGTGTTTAGTCTATTATGTTGTAGGAACTTAGGAACTGTTTTTTTGGGTGAATGTAATACTAATACCGTTAGGAAATTAGGGTGGGGTTGGGAGATGTTGTAGAATGTTGGATCCTGGCTAACTTTACATTCTGGGGTACTTAGTTAGCTTTTTAGGGGTTTGGTAATCTGGTAGTGATTGTTTGTGAGTGAGTGAGTGAGTGAGTGAGTGAGTGAGTGAGTGAGTGAGTGAGTGAGTGAGTGAGTGAGTGAGTGAGTGAGTGAGTGAGTGAGTGAGTGAGTGAGTGAGTGAGTGAGTGAGTGAGTGAGTGAGTGAGTGAGTGAGTGAGTGAGTGAGTGAGTGAGTGAGTGAGTGCCCGATATCAGAATATGATGTTGTAATAGTGTGATAAGTTTAGGAACAGTATATGGGAATTAATTGCGAGCTTTAACAGATTGAAGGTAAAAGTATGTGATTTGAAACCGTGTTTAAAAGTTTAAAGTTCACTCACCAGCTGTTCACTGTCAATTTAAATCAGCATCTTCACAATCAATCCAATTAAATTTAGGGGCCACCACATGTTAGTCCTGAACCACTTTGTAATAATTCCACGGAAGTGGATACACTGTAGTACGTACCTGGGTGATGGATATTGTGGGGACTGGATACCTACTGTAGAATTATAATATTGCAGAGTTTCAATGTTGTGGGTGAGTCGGTAATCAAGACATTGGGGGTGAATATTATATCAGATCGAATATCCAATTTCAAAATTAAAAATCTCAATTCTTCCAACACAGTTGACCTGGATTAACTGTGATGTATTGGATGTTTAGGGAATATAATATTATTATATTGTCTGCCACTCTGTCGGCATGATGTATATTTTTGACTGCACTGTCTTTATCGAATTAACAAAATGCTCGAGACGTTGCTTTTAATAGCTTGGTGTGTACATAATATAGGCTAATTGATGTTCACGAACGGATTCACTGCTATGACTGGATCGAGTAGAAAAATTAGCGTCATTGTTTACCGTGAAAATAGGCAAACACTTGATACAAGCTTAAACAATTGACGTACATACGTCATAGATTTGTTCATGATGGAAGAAGATCATCATCATCTTCAATGCTTTAATAGCATCAAAAGTGATTGACACGTTGGTAAACGAATAATTGTTGAAAGATACAAAATGGCTCGACTTGAGTGCCGTCTTCGACGTTCAGATTATTGATTCATTTTAGAATTTATCAAGAGATTTTACATTTTATCCTTACTGACTACCTGAGTAATACTAAGATACCAGCTACCTGAATATGTAACAGATACAATATACATTATATATCTTTTTAGTCTAGTATTATGGGATTAATTTGAGAACCACCGGCTCCAAATTTAGGTAAAATAGATCTTCTCAGCTTGGCAGGTTTGCAAATACTCACATAATACAATCGTTAATGAAACAGACGAAAGAAGATTTATACGACATTTTACTGTGGGAGCTTCCTCTTAATCTGAATATGAATTAGTCATCTCAGGTTTGACATAATTGATAATTATACGAATTCAGAAGAATTTGTCATTGTAATGTGTCATATAATGTAATATGTAGATAATTCGTTACACTTTTGAATACATTACTCTAATCTAAATGAATCAAATTTAATGTATTTATTTCACAGAAACCACTCTTTCATATTCAATAGTTTGTTACATAGATATTGATTCTGGTGGGGAGGTGAAGCATTCTATTTTGGCACGTGACAGTGATTCTGGGATCTGATTGGTCAATGGCTCAATGGTGGCAGTTGATTGGTTAATTGATGTCACGTGTCACCTATCAATAATTGCATTATTTGTTCACCTGTTGGCTGTTGAGCCGAGAAATACCATGTCCAAACTTCAAAACTATTCCCGTGTGGCCTGTGGCAGTGTGGCTATTGCATTATAAAATGTATATATTATAATAACCCAACCGTTAAAATTACACTGTAAACTGTCTATAAACCTTCTGATTTGACGAGCTTGATAAGATTATAGTAATCTGATAATGACTTTGTTGTGCACAGCGCCTTAATCTCTTTTTGTTTGGAGAAATAATGTCTCAGCTGACAAAGGACTCAGTCGAGACACCCTCCCTAGGTCCCGTAAAGATGCAATTTCTCATTAATAAAATGTTTCATAATGCAATCTCAGGTGGGAATGTACTGAGCCTGAGGCCGGTACAATAGTTCATTTTAATTGTCTTTGAAGATTTACCCGGGATCCACTCATGACATCATGCATATATAATGCAAGTTCATGGTCATTAATGTAAAATGCTTTGGACAGTGGACTTAATGGCTTTAGCGCCTTATGCAGAGTTGTGAGTATCGCGGAGAGACTTTGATAGTGCACAAAGCAATGGTTCAGGAGGGTCCAGTCAATAATTCCTACTGCTTTTTTGTTCGGCTCAATCAATATCCAATATTTATGTGTAGCACAACTTGGTCAGCAGTAGTTTACACTATATGGAAAGCTGGTTCCCCATTGGTTACTCCTTCCCTGTACTGGGCTGTGATTGGTTGAGCACATGTCACGTGACGGTCTATTGTCAGATGTTTATAAGGGAATCCTGGGTCTATTGTGTTTAGACACAATGCTTTTTACACCATCCATTAGCCTTGCCCGGGGATAAATTCCTTGTTCAAATCAAGTTCAATTACAGACATACTCCAAATCATGATCACGTGACCTATAAAATGGTTCAAAGATCTCTGATCTGTGGAGAAATTTTGAATTTCTTTAAAGAATTTGATAAAATCACTTTTAGATAATATGGTATCGAAAGATTTTTGCAGCATGACTTGGAATAGTATAAATGGTATGGTATTTGAATAGTTGAAATGGTCAGTATACAAGACTTACAATTTCAACTGAAAGCATTCTTTTTACTGAAAATTATTTAAGGATATGTCTAGACGGTTACATTTATTGTTACCGAGTATCGATATTCAGTTACAATAATTGTAACCGTTGGTCTCCTAAATCAGAAAATACGTCAATCATGATTTTGAATTCTTTGAAATCTACTTAATATAAAATTATGCTGTTAGTAAAATGGTGAAAGTCGCACACTACGAAGACTGAGGTACTTTAATATCTTGTGGATCTCTTCAAGTCTGCATACTATTGACGTTCTCTTATAGCCTATTTGTGGCCAAAGTGGTTCGCCTACGTGGGTCACTCTTAGCCAACAACATACCTCCTTAGACAGCAAATGAGACCGACAATGGTAGATCTAGCACTTACCTGGCATATATGAGAGTGCCAATAAAAAAGGTACTATAATATAATAAAGGGTATGTAACATATGGGTGACCTATACAATATATAACCAAGAGATTGCTTTTATAGATGCTATACAGGACACCTGTATTTTATCAACGTAAAAGCGCAAAGTGAGTCGTAGCTGGTGTTGCATATATCAAGACAGAGAGTTAATCGTCGACTTTATAATACTAATTAGGCACTGCACTCCGAACAGATTGAATAATATAATAAAGTTTTAAACTTTCTAAACTATTTTGTAGAACGTTTGATATGATTCGAGTAACGACGTGTAAGCACAGCAATGTATGAAATTGGATTCGAACGTGCTTAGCCGTTCCCTTCACTGCAATTCCACCAAACCTGAGTATGTTAGGTCACGTGATCATTAAACCTGAGTATGTTAGGCAGACACCAGGTCTTCCTTTCTATATTGTAGTAATAGTATATTAACGGATACTCACAGCTGCACTTGCAGACTGAATCAGGACGATTGGACAGTGCCCAGCTATTGCACAACTTCGAGTGCAATGCTTTCAGGTATAAACAAGGTATATTACCTCTCCGTCAACTACATCTTCGACAACCATCATATTACTGCTATTTTCAACTTTGCAAGTTCGCGCACTAAGCGTCTCATTGTGGTTATTATCCTTTCAGCATTCGGACATTTAGTAATTCCTCCTCATTCCACTTGCCACTTTTCTCCTTCATCTTCACATAGATTCCCGTCATTCTCTTCCTGGAGGGTTGCCACACCCCAGAGGCAGGTAGAGCATCTTCATTCTATCCTCTTGTGGGCAACCTAGGTCCAGCCTCTCTGTAAAAATAACCAGCATATTGGGATGCACCAGTGAAGCCATATCACTTAAGTAAAACTCAGCCGCTATGATAGCCAAGTAAAAACATCCGATTGTTTCGAAGGAAGAATGCTGCGATAAACAAATTCCATATTATTATCACACGTGATAAATTAATAAGTTATACACCATCTGTAGTGGTGAACTGTACTGGAGTTTTGTTATAAACGAATATAATATTATGTACATGTGTGGTATGTGTGAGATTGTCTGAGCTGTCGGTATCGATTGTATTAAAATGTCTAATTGCCAGACCAAAATTTCAATCAAAAAGAACGACCGACCATAATTGGATTCTAACAATAGCCCTGTATATAATAGTGGTTACAATTTAAAATAGTTGAGACAAAGCCTCGCTGATTTGTTGGCACGTGTAATAGATGGTGGGTGGGACCCGCCCCTCTCTAATATGCAACACAGCTTTTACAGGATTACTCGGGTGTTGTTGCAATGCACTGCAGTGATTCAGTCAGCAGAACCGCTGTACTGGCTGGGTCAGCAGAATAACCTGTTTAAAACACACTGAGATCCTCAAGAAGATGCTGCTCTTAAATCCTGTGTATGAAATTGTATCATAATGTGATCAAAATGTAAGTTATAACACCAGGACAACACGAACTACCTGTAACACTGCACAATAATATCTCGTTAAAGTAATTTACCATGGTTTCTACTATTAGTGTAGGGCGTGCGTAGATCAGCTCAGGATACGCCAAGAGTATCGAGTTACGAGTTACGAGTTACGAGTTACGAGTTACGAGTTGGGAGAGGAGCTCGAGGGAGGGAGGGAGCTACAGCCGTGTCAAGATTATTATGATTTATTATTATCCAATTTTTGAGTGTTGTGGGTTTTGGTACGTGTGGGGTTTAGAATGTGGTTTTGGGTCGCTAGCTTGTGGAACAGGGGTCCTGGTTAATTGTTATTTAAGTGACAGTCATTGGAATCATATTCAGGGTAGCAGAGGACGTACAAAAAATGTTCTGACTGTAGGATCTCGGTATAAAGTAGTATTGATCGATTTCAAAATTGAGCTTTTAGCCAGAGTATTTCGTGGAGCCCACTATTTTCCCATCGAACACGTAACAGCAAAAGTCTTTGCTGTACTGCAATTACCTAATTACCTGAATAAAGGAACGTTTCTAATAGACATGAGTGGAAACAATGGAGTCGCTGGAACGTGGCCTGTTTGCAAATTATCATGTAGAGTGAATACAGTAATTATCAAACTAATCACCTTTCATCAACTTCATTGTTAAATCACAGAAAAGTGACGTCTCTAATTGCCAATCAGTTTACACAATCGATCTGACATCACGTGACCTTTGCCAAAAGAGCGTCGCCTCTCTATCGATAGCAAAACATTCCCACTGTTTCTCTGTGCAGTCCATCATGCTCACTGGATCACCATAATCTCCAGATATTATCACAAACATACTTTAAATAGCTGACTAGACAGGCGTGGAATTATACCCTATTCTTTCCATATCAGAATAATGCAGGGATCCCTGTGAGGCTGGCGTGACTTATTGGAGTGCGACGAAATTAACGTCAACAAATTTAGTCTGGTGGTGACTATTGTTGTGCTATGTATTCTGTTGACAGGTGAAATATCGTGTCATGCAACTATTTTCCAGCATCTTTGCTTCATGGAGAAACAATCACTGGTCACAACGTCGATATCGAATGTGTCTCACTTTTAAAATGATCTCGCCCATTCAGAATTCTGCAGATATCAACATAGAGATGGGCACTACCCAAGAGAGTGTGTAATGTCTTGTACTGGTTTAAATGTTAAAATACTGGTTTACATGTTAAAATACTGGTTTAAATGTTAAAATACTGGTTTAAATGTTAAAATACTAGTTTAACTGTTCTGTTTTAATTACAAACAGAAACACTGTGATAATTCCAGCACATTACGTACCAACACGCACCACTGGCACTGTATAATTATAGTGGGTGTGTGTTATTATAATAATTGCAGTGTGTGTGTTATAATTACACATTATTAAATAGCTATTTATGTACAATCTGAAGGTGTGTGCATGGTAGTGTTTAGACGTTTAATGGTTTGTTGAATTATGAACAATTCTTTGAATCATGAACAATTCTTAGAATTATGAACAATTCTTTGAATTATGAAAAATTGAGAACAATTCGTTGCAAGTACAATGTTACAGTTCGAACGTCTGTGGTTTTTTCAGTTTCTAAATGCTAAATCCCTAATGAAGTTCGGCGAAACTTGTACATCTGAAATGAAATGCTACCTTGTGTGTTGCAAAATGCGTTTTTGTGGTTATCAAATGAATCGTGGGTGGGCCAATAAAAAGCAAACCTTAATTTTGGAGCACTTCTTTTAACAAAAATAGAGTCAGTTTTAATTTATAGATTGATTTAATAATCGATATAAACGTCTGCAAATGATAATCAGCATGACCACGCCGTTTAAGTAGTTATCCAGATCTATATCGACAGTTAAATTGTAAAGAAGTCAAGAAGATTGATAAGTTGATAGCGAATTGTGCAACATCAAATTGGAAATCAATCTCACAAGAAATGGGTATTTATAGAAGCGACTTAATCCACGGATTATGGACGGATTATAGCCATATACGATGATTATTTCTACCTGAAGAGAAAGTAAAGATCTAATAAACAGTGAATATTATTTACATATTCCTCTGAAGCACAAATTGTTGGCGTACCTAAAAGTTCACCTGCACCGGTTCTTCTACAGACTCCCTCCAACCGGCTGTAAAGAATGTCACGGATTGATTTGCAGTTGCTCGGTTTAAATTAGTGCCACCAATTAGTATCGACGACACGAATTGTACGTTCTGAAAATATCGGCACGGTGTACACAACATAAAAACGGACAATTTTCATATTGTATTATTACAGTACAATTATTTAACGTATCACCACGTTCAAACATACTGATACATTGATAACGCCGTGCATACTGCATTTAATCCTCAGACTTTGGGTCACATGTCATCACCATTTACTCTAATGGTTCAGAAACTATGTCTTAGAGAGTTAAAGCTCAGCCATCATATCATTAGTGACTTTACTACGATAGCCCTGCAGTTTTACCGATATTAGTCGACGTCATGCAACATATAATGTTTTTTAAGTCTGGGTGAAGAAGGGGGTAAACAGGCGTCATTTCACCGCGTAAATAGTTATTGACCACGACGTTTCATTTCGTCCCGCGGAAGAGTCTGCCAGTTGTCATTACCATTTTGTTTGGGACATCGTCGTACATTTCGCGAACAAGACGGCGCGCGCGAAGACACCGTATCTTAAGTGATAGCATTGTGTTAAGCGTTCTGTGTTTTCGAAATAAATTTTAATCGCTCAGTAAAGCGAAATTTCTATCAAGTTTTAAAACTTTAAGCCTTCAAGTAATTAATCAATGTATTTTTGCAGCACGGTCAGGGATTACCTGAGCGGAGACCCATTCGCCAAGTATGTGGAAAGTAAATACTTCACACGACAACTGCAATGGAAACAGCTCGAAAAGTAGGTTTTCGCTGGTTTTATCTTCCTACTATTCTAAAATAGTATCACAACCAGTGCAGCGTGGGCCAATTTGTCATTGCCCCAAAGACATGTATATGTGACTTCTGCTCTAAATTATTATCGGAATTCCGATGTGTATGAGTTGTTAACAGAATGCAACTTTTTATCGGTGAATCAATGTTTTGATTAATTTGACCGTTCCATTCAGGAAACCGATAGGTAAGCATACCTTCAGACACTATCGAGTCCTAGGAAAAGGAGGATTTGGTGAAGTGTGTGCTACACAGTCACGGGCTAGCGGTAAAATGTACGCAGAAAAGAAACTTAACAAAAAACGAAGTAAGTGAAACTATGTCAAAAATATCGGCACGTTGAAATTTTGCGCCAAATTTTACAGATAAGATTTTAATGTACTAAATAACTTACCTGATCGAGTAAACATCTGTGAACTCCTACTTTAAATTATTTGATATTTTCAGTTAAAAAGAAGAAAGGTGAAATGATGGCATTAAACGAAAAAGAATTACTCGAGAAAGTTAACAGTATATTTGTGGTGAGAATTAATGTGTTCCATTTTGTTGTTTAAAGCCTTTTGAATTCACAATAGAGACCTGATGCCCCTTTCAAATTGTTGGCCATTTTTGGTGCCCCCTCAACTTTCTTCGGTAAAAGAACTGTTATGTTGCAGTGTAATGAATTATTTTTCTTGCCTTTTTGCACGTTCTCATCACTCATGTCCTAAGCAATGCTTTAGTCAGATATTGAACAATATAATTTATGTCCATATTGTACTCTAGTCAAGAAGGGTTTAGTTTGCCACTCTCAGATATTTCTTTGGTGGAATTTTCATCTACCAACTGAACGGATATTTAAGTTTTAAATTTATTTTCAGGTAAGCCTAGCATATGCGTACGAAACTAAAGAAAATCTTTGCATGGTATTAACGCTCATGAACGGCGGGGACCTGAAGTTTCACATTCACAGTATGGGAGCTTTTACTGAGGACCGTGCCCGATTCTACACTGCAGAAATCTTATGCGGAATCCAGCACCTTCACCAATGTAACATCGTTTACCGTGATCTTAAACCGGAGAATATCTTGTTGGACGATGCTGGACACGTGCGAATATCAGATCTGGGTCTAGCAATACACGTGCCTGATCGCCAGGTGGTAAAGGGACGAGTCGGTACCGTAGGGTATATGGCCCCAGAAGTTATCAAGAACGAGAGGTATTCTTACAGTGTAGACTGGTGGGGTTTAGGTTGCATTATTTTCGAGATGATCGAAGGCCAAGCCCCCTTCAGGAGCCGAAAAGAGAGGGTCAAGCGAGAGGAAGTTGAGAAACGGATTCTGGATGGAAAATATACGTTTTCAGATAAATTTAGTGAAGATTCTAAGGAGATTGTCAGACAATTCTTAGAATTAACGCCCGCCACCAGATTGGGAGTGAGAGGTGACAAATGGACAACTGCTAAACAACACAAATTCTTCGAAAAGATCGATTGGATTTTCCTTGAAGCGGGAAGTGCCACGCCTGATTTCGTCCCCGACCCACACGCCGTTTACGCTAAAGATGTCTTGGACATTGAACAATTTAGTACTGTCAAAGGTATTGTGCTGGATGAAGCGGACGAAGAGTTTTATAGAAAGTTTGCTACGGGATCCGTGGCGATACCTTGGCAGGACGAAATAATTGAAGTGGGAGTATTTAAAGAAATAAACGTATACTAGTGAGTTGATAATATTGTACATGATCTTGAAAATGCTAACCTGAAAAAAACAAAATGATTTGAATTTAGATTTTTTATGGTCAGTTACATATTACATCTTACACGTTTGATATCGAATTTCTCAGTGAAAACGACGAGCTAGTGTCACCGAAAGAGGAGAACTCAAAAAAGTCACTCCTGGACAAAATTCCACTTTTCAGGAAGAAGAAAACGGTGAGTTCCGTCTTGATTTGAGCTGCCTCTAATCTTCAGCCCTCTTTATTTTCCGTTGAATCCCGGGTACTTTTTTGTTACGTTTTAAACAAGATGGTGGCCAATTTGACTTGTTTGTGCTATTGCATTCCCATTGTTTGGGGACGTATCCAATTAATCTAGGATACGTGCGTGTGAGTTTTAATTTCAATTGCTATTCACGCGTTAAACATACCAATATAGTGCCCCAGTGACACAAATGGACGTCATGAAATAACCTTCCTTACAGTGAAAACTGTCACATTTTGCAAATTTTTATGAATTTCTATGAACCGATTCTCCTATGCGATTATTTGTAGTTCAAAAAATGTTCGATATCAATGCAATATAGATTATCTTAAACGGATATTTCTACCTGCTAGTGGTTTCATAATGCGCTCTACGAATGACGTAAAAATCCAAAAACGCGTAATTTCGGAGAACAAAGGGGCACTATATTATTATATTGTGCTGCATCTATGTTATACAAGTTTGCCATGGTAACACACATGAAAACATTATATCTAATGATTAATGATTATCATTATGTAATTAAGAGTGGGGCACTATATTTTACCTCTAAGATTTAAAGTTAATCTACGATACCTTAGTTAAAAACCATTCATTCCATCTCAGTTTTTATATTTTTTATTACAAAAGTTATTAATTTACTGTCTTGCCATATTATTTCAATCGTTTATAAGGATTTTGTAACTTTAATTGTACCAGTAGCCAGCTTATTGTCTTATTGTAATGTTAGGTGTTTTATAATCAAGTTGTGATATATCTGTGATAAAGTAGTCCTGTTAAATGTAAATGTATTATACTGTAGAGTAGCTCTACAATTATCAGTGTGTTACTCTGCTGAACTTTACCAGGTTCGGTTCAGTTCTAAGGTCGGTTTTGTTGGGCGGTTCCCATCAGTTAAATAGTAAAATTTAGAGCCGCGCAACCGAACCAAAACTAGAGCCAAACCGAACCTGTACCAAAGTTCAACAGTGTAATTATTATACTTGTCAGGTATATAATGTAGACTTGATATCCCCTATTTCTGTATAGAGCGCGGTGGAGGACAGCAGCAGTTCCAGCAGCGGCAGCGGGGGTGCCTGCTGCTGCTGTTCGTGAAAACAAAGTTCACCCCAACAACCGTAGATGAGAGAATCTAACCAGTAGGCATTCCATGTTATAACCATGTACCAATTGTGTACCCCGCTGTGTAGTTCTAGACCCCAGTTCATATTGTGAAACTTTATCTGGGAAATATTTTGCTGTCATGATGGTAATGATGATGATGATGATCCGGCTTATTCCGGCCCCCTGCACTTAATTTGATTCATGATCCGAAGGGGTAGGAATGTATCATATGTTCATCTAACGATTGAGCTTAAACAAGTAGAATCGTGCATGAAGAATTTCAAAATGTACCGCTTTGCAAAAAATTATGGCTTTTTTATCAGCTGAAGTCCTATTTTGAAAGAGAACCGTTATCAAATTATCAATATCATGACAACAAAATTTGAGCACTTCATGTTATATTGAGAGATATTTAAGCGATTAAAACTCTCGTACGTGATTGTTGCGATTTCTGCACAGGGTGATCTTTGTACACCCTACTTATCACCCCCTCTTTCGTGCCTGGAAGTGAGGTCAATCCCGATCATTATCACAAGCCTGGCATTCGGGAGTCTTGGTCTAAACGTAAATAACCAAAACATAATGTTTTTACAATTTCCAAACACAGATTGGCTTCCTAACCTTACTGCATTGTTCAGCTTATCCCTTCAGTCTCCTCGGCCGTGCATGTAAAATTTGGCTCCAGCAAATATGTATTCCATTGTTCACAATTAATGCTTTGAACTCATCGTCCCAGAGGAATGTAGCAATTTATTTGGGCCTTACAATACTATCTGGCCTGTGTGCATTCTGCATAGTGCATTCGGGCAATTCATTCAATTTTAACATCATCATTCTCTGCTATTATGCTACGACTAAGAGTGCATGTTTTCTAACCAATGCAAAGCTTAAGATGTGTCGTACACTTAAAATATCAGTATCCCTTCAGTCTCCATCACGTGTCTTAAAGCAAACCCTGTAATCTTCTCCCGGTCACCCTGTGCATATATTAGCCCAGACTGCACTCTTAAAAAGTCTTGATTTCTCCAAAAAAAAGAGGCTTGTATCAATCTCAGCACAGACCCGAGACCACGCTGCGTTCTCCGTGATTCCGTGTATCGTGATCGTGTAAATTTAACGCTGTTGAACTTTAGTTCAGGTTCGGTGTGGTTGCGCGGCTTCAGATTTCTCATGGTTACTGATTGGAGCCGCGCAACCGACTCGAACCTGCTAAAATTCAGCAACGTAACTGCTGATGTTCTACTATGGGTATGTGGGTTTCGTTTTATACGGAGTTATTATTGTTTAGATCGAGTTTAGTACCCCTACTAGTAGGGGCTCGTTTCTCAATGTTTGTTACCATGGTATTACAGACGCTGCATGGATTAACTAACTTATATTCCTGCATGTTAACGCTCACTAAACGCTGCCATATTCGCTGCATGAATTTGAGCTATACTCAAGATATTAGACCTGGCGACCTCGCCATGTCTGGTATGCTGGTAGAAGAGCACTAAGATTGCTGTTAGGTATTACTAAATAATAGCTGGAATAGAAATGGGTAATGGCGGGAAAGTATTCTATATTTTCACAACAAAAATTGAGATTACTCTTATATTAGAGTACGGATCATATATGAATGCATATTTGTATGCATCCCCTCTTTTAAGCATTGCAGCTTCACAGCTCAAGATTGTCAATGAAAATCTAATATTGGAACACCTTTACCAAGGTCTATAATCTCGAAATTGAATTCTACAATAGTGGATTGTGACCCCTTGATAAGTATCGTCATACTAATTATGTCTCAAACCAAAAATAACTCTTAATGAACCTAGCAGACCTATCTCCTGTGTGAAGCACATTTAATTTGATATCAAGCATTGTTTATTCGTGAGCACGTACGTATCTGTTCAATACCTCCCGTTTGATTGACAAAATATATCCAAATATTAATCCACAATTTCACAATTTCAGACGCCCCCAAACAGCAATTCAGAATCATGAGCTTTTGGAGTAGGAGGCAACAGGCAGCGGCCCACGGTGGATGATCCGGGCAAGATGAGGCGGCGCTCGGCAAATTCCCGGACACGTCGCCATCAATTATAGTGATATTTCTCACGATTGCGATACTTCTCTTACGAGTTTTATTTGAGTTATTTGTTTTAAATCTTAAAGGAAGGTTTAGTTTTAACTGCACGACTGACACATTTCCTGCATTATCAAAGGCAGCTAGACAGTTTCTATTATAAAGCGGTCCATTTCACAGAAAAAAGCAACAACGGACCGATCTGCCGAATGACACCGGAAGAAGGTGTACTTTAAGTTAAACCACGATGTAAATAGACAGTATTGAACTGAAAAATGTTCAATTTTGGATTTATGTGTCAATTTTGGGTGTTCTCTGTTCTATGATAATTTCAATACAAAGGGTCATGGTGGATATTTAATATGTGCATTTAATACAGTCCCTTGAAGATCAAAAGTGAATTCTGTACTTGATCTATATTTATAGCTTATATATTTTAACGAGTTAGTAGGGCTTGATGAATTTAGTTTAACAATTTAATTCAACTTAAGAGAATGATATTTTTGTTAGCTTGTAACAAACTACGTCCTGTTATTATTATAGTTTTTATAGAATACGGGTACTCGCGCCGCGATCTGTTAACGTTTCTGTGGTAGAATATTAACTAGGTTTGGTTTTAACGAAGTGTTCTGTGTTGGTGTTGGAGTCGGAGGAATTGTTTCATTGCGATGAGATTTTGTGCATTCCAAGTGACATCCCAATGCAGTATGATGTTGAATTCGCTGCATTTATACTTATAGTATAGGGTGCCTCTGATAACAACTTGCTGCTCCTTCACCAAATTTACTGTTATTTTGTTGCGTACATGAGTTACACTTGAACCAAGTTTCAATTGGTTTAAGGGTATAATTTGTTGGTTTTGGTTGGGTAACAGGTTGAAGCCCGTCGAGTAACCTTAAAAATGTTTTATATGCACTAATTTCCTGGCAAAAAATGCGATTGAAAGTTAATTAAAATATGTCGACTGTACTCCTATCTTAATGGCACGTAATTTGACAGGAAATAAAAAGGAAAAGCTGTGCTTCAATCTGCGCAACCCAGATCACTCTTCAACTAAGGACATGTAAATACAGCGTATATATAAATTTCCACTTGTAAAATATATAATATGACTCGATTGTCGTTGTTCGAATCAATTTTTCTTTACCCTAAATATCAATCAATCTTGAGATTAGATAGTCGCAGCCGGATACCTTAATTTTTGTTTGTAACATTTAGGCAACTTTTTGTCCTCGCATCCCAAGTTATCAAGAATGTTATGTTTGATTTTGTCCCTGAATTTAATAACAGCTGAAAGAGTTCGGATAAATTCCACTGTTCAATTTGAATTTATCTACAATAATATTTTAATTGAATCTCCGAAAAATTTTTGTAACATAACAGGTTTTGTCCTCCGTTCAAACAGAACCTGATTTTTCTGAAATCATTTAACGACAGTTTTTATCGCTCTAACCGTTTATTTTCCAGGCTCCTTTATTTTATCTTAAAATTTTGATTTGAATTAATAAGTCACGTGATTTGTTAATTGGATCACCTGATCTGTATTACTTTGACTCGGACACGTGTTTTTACGATGCATGTGGCCTTGTCGTCTGGTGTGAGTGAGAGTGCGCTGAATTCTGTTAACGGTGAGCTGTTCAACGTATGACAATTTTATAACTTGCTTATTATTAGAGTGAAATGTTAATATAGACTTTAAAATATTCCACTTCGATCTAAAATATGCAGTTTTATTTGGTAAGGTAGTAAAGAAGTAGAAACACGTAAATTTTTAACTGAAAGTTTAGGGTGTCGGGTCAGTTTAACTTTAACACAGTTACAAAATCCATGATATTATCTGCAATACAGTATTAACAAAAAACAGTTGAATTTAAGCAAAATTGCACTTTGATCGTGATCACATTCCTGTAACCCGCAGGAATCACATCAAGTGACGAAATAATTCCCATTTAACCACACCGTTAGAATTAAATACGGCTGTAGACGATAAATAGAGTTGTAGCCTTCAAATATTATGTACATTAGATCGTTAAAAGAGATCAAACATAAGAATTGTCCTCGAAAACTTATCTTTTTCCCGAAAAACTTGCAACAGTAAACTGTCAGCTTCTTCAAAATCATTTAAATACTACAACTGTTTTAACTGTCCAGTGTCTATCTACTCTGCGGGAGTCAGAGCACATGATTACTGATTTGGTGGTTGCTGCGGCACGTTCTGCTGCGCTCTCAGCTGTGCGGCCCTTACGTTGTGGCCCCTCAAAGCCATTACTAGACCCAATACTATCGCTAATACTGACATTAGGTATATATCCCAGTCCTGAAAATAGAGTATTGTATCATATCTAAGCCCTTGTGAAAGTGAGTTAGGTCGAAAACTTTAAATATAATTATACTCCGCAGCTGTGATATGGTGGACTGAAATTAAAGAAATGGGATTCTCAAGATATTAAGTTATACACTGCACTGTCTTACCTCAGTAGCGCTTTCGTCGAGCTGTACGAAGAACTGAGTCAATCCCTCAACGTTTTCAGTGAAGTATACAGCCCAGGACGTATACCAAACTAGGATACTGTCGTAAAGCATCGTAAATGTAAACTCCTGGCGGATCATGTCAATTAAAGCAGGATTACTCATTCTAAAATAAATATACGACGTATTTGTCATCTGACGGGAAAATTCAAAAAATAATGATTCGTGAAATGCGTTTTCGAATACTATAGGCGAGAGCCTGTAACTCACTAATAGCACTAAATGTTAAAAGTAAAAAGGATTTATAACTTATATCACACCTGATAGAACTGTATTAACCATTCAATATGTAGCTTGGTCATGAGTTTAGCGTTTGCTAACATAGTTGGAACGTGTGCATCTACACTGGCCGATGCTGCCATGTCGTAGTACCGCTTTGCTAGATGCATATCCTGAGGATATACTTTTATCATACACAGTAAACACCTATTACGAGAGAAAGATAATAAATTAAATCCTGATTTTATTGAGATTAGTTTTAATTAAGGATTAACCTGTGTTCGACCAATGCCAAGTTCGTGCATGTAGCCCAAGTTGAACATGGCTTGTGGGTTGTGGTCCACATCACTAGCTATTTGGTACTGCTCTGCTGCTTCAACTGGATTTGGTTCAGTACCTGAAAATTACATCTGTCATAAATAATCAATGTCATACAAGACACGATACATGTCTTGACACACGTTGCATTTCTCTTTTCGCTCAGGATATGCAACGTATAGCAAAACATGTCTCATTACATTAATCAGTAGTTTCTACGGGACGGAACAACTTTCACTGACTAGATATTTAGGTCGGGGTAGGTTTTATTTGAGAACTCACTAAAAATAAAGGATCGTCCAATTATCTTACCTTGTCCGTAGTAATAGTAATCTCCCAGTTTTAATCTTGCACCACCAAATCCTTGAGCTGCTGCCCTCTTCCAATTAATAAAAGCTCTCTTGTAACGAGATTTCAAGTTTCGGATAAAATCGGTGTCATCTGAATAGAAATGGTTATTACCTTTGACCAATGCCGCACTTTATTGTCATGTTTTATGGCGTACAGTGTAACAATAACATGGCTTCGGAGTTCGGAACACTGGCTTTGCTGCTAACTTTGGGTCCTACGTATTATATTATAAATCAAGGTTAGAACAATGCGCGCGTGAATCGCGTAGCATACTAATTGCTCTGACAGCGCACAAAACTCAATTCCAAGCGTATCGCCGCGCACGTTATCAGGACACAGTAGACCCTTTTCAGAGAAGCCCCAGCTAAGCTACCACTGCTTAAATACTTGAATAATAAAAGTCAAATACCTTTGTCCAGGATAAAGGCGACGTTCGCCTGTGCAACTTCATATCCTTGTTCAGCCAGTATGAGATACTTTATAAGTGCTGAGTCGACGTAGCCCTGAGTCGTGGACATTTAAATAAACGTTTTTATTATACGATAAAATCATTTAAGTTTTAGAACTCTACTTTACAAATGGAACATCTAAATTTCGCTGTTCGACGAAATAAGGTAACCTCTTTAACAAATTAAGAGTGAAATATTATTAAGTAATCAACGATCAAAACAATTTATGAAGAGTTATTAGGTCGTTTAATCCAGTCTAACTTTTTAATAACAAAACTAAGTTAACAACTTGTAACCTTATGATAAAGCGCATGAGCGTCCATAAGTTCGTTACCCCAAGTACCTCGTTCAGCTACATTCTTCAGCAACTCAGCAGAAGTCTGGCAATTCCTCATTACCCCAATACCCATGGCGTGCATCATACCGAGATTGTAAAACGCTAACACATGACCTGACAGATTTGTAATATTGGTTATAAACTTGATGAACAATCGAAAGGTTATCCACGGGCTTTCCATTTGTCACATGAAATTCATTAGACATTAACCAAACAGCTCCAAGCAGCAATCAATAATTGAACCCCAATTTAATATCACAGTTACGTCTTGTCTAAAGAAATATGGGTAACCTGATTTAGAAGCCACGTTGAAATGTTTAAGGGCAATACCATGATCCTTCTTAACACCAATACCACTAAGATGCATGAGACCCAACTGTAACTCAGCCTCGGTATGTCCTTGTTGGGATGCCAGCGTGAAATATGACAACGCCTGGGGGGTAGTTTCCGTGTTATCAACATGACAATACGATTCCAAATTTATCAGTAGATGTAGGCTGATACCTGTTTATTGAAACATTTAATTGAGAATTCTAGAGAACTTACCTGAGAGTAATCCTGGTCTACGCCCCAGCCGTTGTAGTATAATGTTCCCATACCCCACTGTCCCATTGGGTCTTTAGTAGCTAACTTGTAGTACTTCAGAGCCACATCGTACTCTTTTAGCTGCATTGAGATCTTACCCATGTACCCATACGCGTTTGTGTTGCCTACAAAATAAAGCGGCTTATCAATAAATTAATTAAGTCTACCATTGAGAAGTCTGTGAGAGAATAAGTGAATCAACTAGAGTCACGTATGTAACAACAAGTATTTTATTACAATGTTTGTATTACATCTGTGATAATAACTGATGCCATTATCAGCATCTGTAAAAACCTAACAAATTGTAGGTCAGCACTCAGCCGTATAAATAACTGAAAATAAAGTACCTGATTTAGCGGCAGCACTGAAATAGTTTTGTGCCAGTTTAATATTTCTCTCTATCCCTCGTCCCCCTTGTAAGTAGAGCTGTCCTAATCCGAGCTGAGCTTGTAAGTCACCTGGGGGCAGGGAGATAAGATTGTTGTGATGTATTTTACTATAATAGTATACTGGGAAGCCAAACTTCGAGTACATATTATGTACAAACTTCAAAATATTGTCTTCTTTAATCTTTTCATGCAAGACATAACTAATTATACAAGTAATCCTGCTAACCAACGACGCCACATTAACCACGTGACTCAACCACGTGACTAAACGTACCTTTATCAGCGAGGAACTGGTAATACTGAACTAGATCCTCATCTAATATAGGACTGTTCTGAGGAGACTCTTCCTCTTCCATGAGTCTGATACGTAACACTACCTGACCTACTGAGGAGTTAACAGTTATGGGCGGATAATGTTAATATATTTAGAACCAATTAACTAGCTGAAAAAACAATCCTGCCCTGATTTCGACAAATAGATAAGTAACTTAGTAAAATTAGCAAATTAGGGCTTGAATCAGTACTCAGTATTATTTCCTTGTGATACGTGTATTGCTGGTATTGAGCCTGAGAGCTACACTATCTAGACATCACTAGAAATTTATATCTTCAACTTTAGTTATTTACATAATTAAATCCATTCTAAGTCCATCTATTACTGATAAGTACATTCCTACAGTTTCTACTGATAAGATTGTACTTGTACAATGTACATGAACAATGTACAATGTACAATGTACAATGTACAATGTACAATGTACAATGTACAATGTACAATGTACAATGTACATGAACAATGTACATGTATCTCACAGTTATAAAATCAACTCATAGTCATCATAACACTGTAACAGTACAAAAAAAGACTGTCTAAAAACTCACTGCCAGCTGATCCTACTTTTCTGGCCACATTATCAGCGACAAGTCTGTAGTATTTGAGAGCACTCTCACAGCTCTGTGCTACCGATATCCCGCTCCAGTACCGGAATGCTAGTGCCATCTGCGCTATAGAGTCGCCACCCAACGCAGCGAATGTGTAGTACAACAATGCCTGATTATTATAGAGGGTTAGATAGTAAATATTTTATAATAAGCGTTAGAAGTTAGGAGGGGCTATTTTCTTATAAACAAAATAGATCATAATAAATATGTCTAATTTTAGTCTTGTTATTTCATGATAAAGCAATAAATTGACACCGTCAATCAAGCCTACCATAGGCTCAGGAACAGTAAACATTAAAGAACACTCGCCTTTAAAGTAAACATTAAAGAACACTCACCTTTAAAGTAAACATTAAAGAACACTCACCTTTAACGTAAACATTAAAGAACACTCACCTTTAACGTAAACATTAAAGAATACTCACCTTTGAAGTAAACATTAAAGAACACTCGCCTTTGAAGCAAACATTAAAGAACACTCACCTTTGACTGACTACTGTCAGCCTGGATGCCAGACGAGTGCATGATAGCCAGGGCTCGCTGTGCACTGGGTAACCCAGATTTAGCAGCCTTCTCAAACATCTCAAATGCTAAGGAGGTGTTGTGGGACACGTACGGTTCGTGGTCTCCTGCAAATTAACTGTTGTTTAATCAGATTTTTAAATAATATGGTCATCAAATATTTTAAATTTCATTCAAATGCTCCATCCCAATTTTTGTACAACATATATCAAATCTCCTTCAATCTTTTTAAACCTGTGAGATGAGCAAATCCTAGTAAAACTTTAGCCTTGTTGTTTCCCTTGCTGCTGGCCGTTTGCAACAACGCATACGCCTGAATGGAAAAACAAACTTAAAAACAAAATGAAAACGTACTACCAACTAAAACTGAAGGAATTCACAAGATGTACAAATATCTTACTTATGGTATCTACAATTTAAAGGAGCATGTAATTTCCAAACCTTCCTGTAGTTAGGTTTATGAACGACTCCATCCAGTGTCTCCTGCCTCACTCCAGTTTGCCGTAGTCCCAGGATCTCCTCCGCTTCTTCCACTTCCTCTGATCCGGGCACTTCTTTCTCCTCCACTGGTGGAGCGGGAACCTCATCTACCTCTGATGAAGAGAGAGCGAGTTATTAATGGATATGTACAGTTTAGAACGTAGCTATTAGTAACCAGGTTAGGTACAATTCATACACAAAATATTTCTTAGTTAAGCATGCCCATTACTCATTTAAATGATAACATTCATTTAGTTATTGATCATTCAGTTGCATTTTGTATGATAGTGAATCGGAATTTCACGTGATGATCATCAAACCAAATCCTAGTGATATAATGAGAACAGATGTTTGGCATGAACTTGAATGCAAAGCAACATTCTATAAATAAAACACAAGCCGCCGTGGTTTCTATGATTCAGTACCATTGTAATTCTCAAATGTAGCGTGCTGCAGGGATTTAGGTACTCGCTTAGGTCGATCTGGCATATTCATAGCCTCCTCTGTCTGACCACTTTCTGGAACTGGCATTCCTTTTAACCCCATCTCATCTTCATCGGGACTTTTCACGGTCGTTTCGTCTGTTTTGAAATCATCTTCATCATCCTCATCATAATCTAATTCATCATCTTCATCAGGTAATTCGTTCATATAATCATCGTCTATTGGGGGCGAGCTGGATGGAGTTTCTTCATACACCGGGTTACCTGTAATATGACACCTTTCTTGTCTAATTCAGAACATGCTAGATCATAGCATCATCATGCAGACAGTTTCTTTTATCACAGCTAATTGATAAACCCAAAAAATATCAGAGAAGTAATATTCGTTGAGAAATTTGAGATTGATTCGTACCCACATACCGATAGGAAACATGGATTAAAGGATTATATGGAAAATGTGATGATGATGATGAAATATTAACCATGCATATCAAATGTTGCCGATGCAGGTGCATGCTGATCATCCGAGTCAAATGAACCTTTGTATGACCCCTCCACTCCATTGTAGTTTTCTGAGGAAAGAAAGCTGATAAAAAATAATTTCATGCAAGGGTGTTTAAATTCATTTCTGTACATTTCAACTCAAACGGCAAATCCTTTTCTAGTTTTTAAGGACTTAACAAGAACGTAAAAGTACCTATTTTTGTTTTATATCCATAGTCACTCATTTCTGTCAGATTGGGCACCTAAGGTACGTCCAACGAAATGAACAATTTGCGCACTGTTTATTTCACCTCAGTAAATGAATAAAGGCGGTATATACTGGCTGAATTATAGGTAGATGTGAATTCTTTTGAGGAGGTGACACTTGACAGTGATACTGGGTGTTCATTGGTCAATAGTGAAGGCTGGATTGGTTTATTGCTGTCATTTGTCAAAAAATATGCCTCAACTCCACACCAGAATCCACATTGCATCTATTGGACTGTGGATATTAAAGCTTTCAGTCGAACTAGTCTAACCTTTGCTGCTTACATCGTCTGTTGTGACAGTATTTAAAATATGTGCCTTATCGTCGAAAGATCCAAAATTAATTCCAGCATTTGTACTTTCAACAAGCTTTTCTAAATTTTTAGCAGCTTCATTTTCTGCTGCCGTTCGTTTGTCTGGAGTCTCTTCAATCTTGTCGGTAAAAATGGGCTTTGAGTGAGTCTCGTCGATGTCAGCAAATCCGTCGATAGAGACAATGTCTAAGTTGGTGCTGTCTTGTGTAAATTCTTGTGTATTGTCTTCAAGTCTCATCTTCTTGTCCTCTGTATCTTTGTTAACTTCGTCAGTATTTGTTAGGTCGATGTCATTAAAATGTTCTGCTATCAACTCATCATCAGTCTTACCTTTGGGTGCTCTCTTTGGATCGAAAGCCTCATCCACAACATCTTGAACAGTCTGTCGTGCATTTTTTACAATATCAGATAGTAATTTCTTTTCTCGTCCAACTATTGGTATCTCATTCTTGACGACTGGAGGTTCGGCTACATTTTCATTGTCCTTGGAAACTGTTTCATCATCCTCTAAAATTGGAGGTTCTTCAACATTTTCATTGTTCTCAGAGACCGGTTGAACGTCTTTAAAAACTGAGGTCTCCTCGACAATCTCACTATTTTTCTCTAATATTTCTTCTAATATTCTGTCTGTCAGCTCTTCCTCCGTTTCTGATGACAACTTCTCATCAGGTGTGTTCTCTGAAGGTGGGTCTACGAGATAGTTTTGTTTGGGTTCTAGTTCATCATCGGCACCTTCACTTCTTACCTGAAATTAGTAGGTGAGATAGGGTATGGTAGTATTTGATCATACAATTTTAATAACCTTCTAACGCCAGGGACCGAGCCAAGGTATAAACTATAAAGTCTCCAAGGTATAATGAACTAAACATTTAATGCCCGTTGCTTGGTGTGGTAAATTAGTGTTTAAGGTTTACAGGAATTATAATTGTCCGACATTCACATTATTCAGAATAGTTATGATTATTCTCACAATAGTGTGATCCTACGATAACATACCCAAATTGTAAAGAGTTCAGTAAAGAATAAAGATGCATCAATGAGTCTGATTAACTTACATGGCTGATACAGAACAGGAGAACACTCAGTAAAAATATGATTCTCAATCCCCCATCCTTGTTGTTTCTCATGCTAAAAGGAGATATCTGTTAAATCACAATCCGTTGATTACATATTATAGGTCTACACTCCACAGGTATATCAACAGTAGTCGGAATATTGCCGACACTATTACTGTATCATACTTTTGGTTAATTACATACAAATAATTATATAACAAGATTTGTAATCTTGCTTGGCTCACACCACGATTAACACTAATATCACAGGTTCATCTCCTAGTAACCACTAAATCATCATCATCATTAATCATGATTTAACATATTTATCAGTTCTGTTTTGCTTCATTCCTTTTCGTTTCATATCCGAACTTACATTCAACGTTTTCATTGCTGCAGCGACGGATGCGTCAAAATGTTGACCATGGAAGTAGAGCCGATATCATGTGATAACCTGACAACAGAACCAGTTATCGTAACTCAGTGTGGTGTGATATCAGCTCCCTCCACTCTAATTATAGAACCTGGAATCACTGTCACAGTTGGGACAGTGAATCCTTTGAAAGAAGCTCTTAATAAAACATGTGTTGATAGATGTGGTGATGAGTTTAAGGAGATTGGGAGACTGCTTGACAACAGAAATGCGTTACTTGCGAAGGTAATTCAGTCATTAAAATTACATGTGAGATACTCACAAGATTAAACAAAGTATTCTCCTCACAGCGAGGAGAATCTTTAGTTTTATCTTATATCATTTTATCATAACCTGAACAACCTCATCTCAGTGGAATATCTAATGTGCTGAAAAGTGAAGATTTGATAAAGTAGATTAAAATAACAAAATGGTATTACTTCAGATAAAGGTATTTGGAGATGACCAGCATACCTTTAACCAAAACTTGAGAAAACATGTTGGACAATATAAAACTAATGTTCTGAATGATGAACTAAAGTTAAATCAGCTGGACAATGAAGTGAAACATTTTGACTGGCGTTTAGACAAACACATTAAAGACATAGAGGATCAATTGAGTAACATGCAATCGTTGCAAAAGGTAGGCAATTTCTCAAGTTAATTTGAATAAGCGTAATGATCTGAAGCTTGATTATATTTTTCCAAATTCTTTATTTTGGTTTCAAAACCAATTCTCTCTTTTTAAAGTTCTAGAGTAATGACAATATGTGAACTTCACGCAGAAAAATGAAAAGATGCTGGAAAAAGTTGGTAAGAAGAATGAAAAGCAGCTAAAAAACTACAAGGAGATCTTAACTAACATATCCAAGAAAATGGTCAGTTTTCAGTTTATGACTAAGCAGTGAGCATCCATCATCACCGGACTTCTCGAAACAAATACATTTGTGATACATCATACTTCATAGGCACTATAAGCGAATTATAAGCTCGCAACTTTTAAGCAAACTCACATATTTAACCAAATTCCTACGTATTTCTACATATTTTACATATTCTTGACCAAGTACATATTTCAGGGAACAGCAACATTTCAGATGTCTAATTTAACAGGATACAATAAAACTGTTGCTAATGATCTAGCTACCTTCAAGGGTGAATCTCAACTACATTTAATTTATATTTGTATTAGCGTCTTTATCAGTTGAGCAGCGTCTAGCGATAATAACCAATTTTCAATATTACATAATCTGTAATATATAATATTGTTGTGGTGTATCTAATACATATTACATAAGTTACACATAATAAAATATTATGATGGGCTAATGTTTTTAAAAACATGACACGTATTAGAACTTTCTTAAGATGGTAACATGATATTATTATTAATCTCGGCAGATTTGATAGCAAAATTAAGCGAAACAGTCAGATCACTTTCCAAGGGTATTTCACCTGCAAGAACAATATCAAAGACTAACTTTCTTGATGCAGATGACGACATAAGTGACGCCCTTAGTGTTCACGAACTTGTAAGTATTAGTCAAAATAAACTTCCAATTACAATAATTGCTTACTCCCAAATTTCATGTTTGAGTTGAGCGGAATGACAGAGTCTGTTATCTTGTTTGTACAATGTAAAGTGTACACTTACATCAATTTTTGACGGAATATAATAACGTAATCACACGTAATCAAACGTAATCACACGTTATAATAACTTAATCACACATTATCACACGTTATAATAACGTAATCACACGTAATCACACGTTATAATAACGTAATCACACGTCATCACACGTTATAATAACGTAATCACACGTTATCACACGTTATAATAACGTAATCACACGTTATCACAAGTTATCACTCGTTATAATAACGTAATCACACGTTATCACACGTTATAATAACGTAATCACACGTAATCACACGTAATCACACGTAATCACACGTTATCACACGTTATAATAACGTAATCACACGTTATCACACGTTATCACACGTTATAATAACGTAATCACACGTTATCACACGTTATCACATGTTATAATAACGTTATCACAACGTTATCACAACGTTATCACACGTTATTACTTATTATACCCATAACCCACACTTCAGAAATTTGGAGACCCTGATGTAACGTTCAAGCCAGTCAACGTCCCCCAAGTACAGGCGCAGACGAAATCGACCACTAAATCTGAACTTAAACCTGATACTCCAACGATAGCTATTATATCACCAACAGTAACGATAAGTTCAGCCAGTAGTAGCCTCAGCAGTTTTGGTATAACAACAACTTGACCTGTTATTCTTAGTCATATAATGCAGTATTATCGGATAAAGTCCGCGCTTTTATGTTACAAAATTCCAAATCAAACAATTAATGATATAATAGGTGAAAACTGTTAAAACTAAGTATCAAATGTCGACCATCACCATAATATAAGCTGTGTTTTACTAATTATAATCTTTTTCAGATAACATAGCAGATATTCCAGCTTCAGTCGATGAGGTTGAAGAGACATATGCTACCAACAGAGGTGAATTAAGAGGACAATTTAGAAAGGATCCTTTACATCTTGTATATAACAGCAGCGACCTTATAGATTAAGCAAGAAGTTGTCTAACAATCAAGATCTCTATTAAAATATTAATATTATGGCCACCAAAAATACAAATATATAAAAACTAACGCACTAAAACATTTCAGATAACATTCAAGGAAAGAACAACAAACTTGATGTCCTGTACGAAACAGATGATGAAATAGACACTAGTTTCAGCTCATTTTCCTCAGACGAGAATAATGATCCAGGTAAAAGAACACGGGAGACAATCAGCCCCGAGGATCTAGATGATTTATTGAGTGAGTGGGACAATTATTAGTTGATATTATCTATGTCAATGCAATTAATTTCAAGGAGAATGATGTGCAGAATGTATTTTTATAAAGAAGTAGCAATTTTAGTTCGCCCTTTAATTTCGAAATAGTGTTTTTTTATAACAGGTATAATTCTTCAGAGGCGCTGAAAGAGGAATGGGTGTAATTGTTATTGAATGATTCACATTATAGAAGCCTGGCAACATAAAATACTTTTCAATTCAGATCAGAAATCCAGATTTAAGGTTTTTTCAGAAAGACACATTATGTTTGCAAATCAAAACTAATGCGTAACATTTTAAATTATATGAGAATTGTTGTTATATGAAAATGTCCACATAATATTGGACCTGGAACCCTTCGAAAACATTGATTGAAAAAACAAATTATGAAACAGATTTTTTTACAAAAATTTGTCAATAACAACAGACCAAGTTTTGGTCAACTTTAATATACAATATACATACAGTTACATAATGAATTGGTGCAGAAGGCGCATGAATAATGGTCCACCTCCTCACCAGTTTCCAAGAAATAGTACGATTAAACGATATAATATCTTAGAGTAGAGTTAACAATTTAGCATACAGTGCATATTTAAGTATGTGTTATAGACTATTATCATGATAATTCTACCTTTCATCTCACCAATAATCACAAGCGGGGTGAATGATAAATTATTGTGAGAAATCGACTACAAAGATAAATTCCTCACTAGCGGTAAGATTGAGTTGGTATTATTACAAACAAATCTGAACCACTTTGCTTTGGATGACCATACTTTTTCGTCACCTCTATTATTTGGTTGACAGTCAGTAGCAAAGTTGAAATTGAGAACTGTCACTCTGTTACACACTACCTTAAGGTGTGTAGACGTTTTGGTTATAATCCAGTTTTTAACTTTACCGGGTGGCACATCATTAAGGAATTGTGTGTTCCAATTCCCTTTATTACATCCGTCAATAAAATAACTCCATCGACTGAGCTTTACATTTTCACATCTCACTGCAAACTGTTTTTCTACGGACCCTCTTTCTCTGGGTAGAGCATAAAACAACCAAATACCCTCATGTTGCACGTTATGTGTTGTTATAAGCTGTACTGACTCTCCATCTAAGAACGAGTAGTATTTAGAAAGTAAAGCCTCACTCCAACCTGGAAATAGATCACGTAAAGAGGCTTCAAATAAACTTAAAATTGTAAATAACTAATATATGAGCATTTTTTTCTAAAACTTCCACTTTGGTGAAAATTTTAAATCAATAGAAAGCATCAAAAAATGATTGTTTGTTGTTTAAAAAGGTCTCAAATGCCAGACTCGATAAGGGTTTACCGTTAAATGCAAATTTTAGTTCATGAAAAGTGCAGCTGAAGTCTGCTGTAAATTTTGCTCCAATTATTTACCTTTTTCTCAAGTCTTACTTCGACAAGTAGGAATAATACTATCGATTTAAATTTACCACAATTTGGTTTGTACTTTTAGTGTATAAGTATTAATCAAGTGACAAACTTGTGACAAGTATTACTTCATAGAAAAAAATCTACCTTCAAAAGTATGTAATGTAAGTCACAATATTGCCAGAAAAGTTTTTTTCCCGACAAATAATCGAATCTAGCCACAATCGAATTTTCAGACCTATCTCTACTACCTTCAAGGACGATATATCAATTACTGCATGATTGCTAGTGGGTTAAATGTGCCTGTAATTAAGTGTATAAAGTAGTAATGTAAGTCACAGTGTAATGTAAGTCACAATGTAATGTATGTCACACATACCAAAACGA